CTCTCTGTCCCTCTCTTTTCCCTCTGTCTGTCTCTGTCTTTGTCTGTCTTTGTCTGAGAATAGAGAAGAGAAGACTTGAGGAGAAGAGAGGAGAGGAGAGATCTGAAAAGAAGAGGAGGAATGGAGAGGAGAGAGAGAGAGAGAGTGCACGTGCGTGTGTGTGTGTTTGTGTGGTATGTGTGTGTGTGTGTGTGTGTGTGTGTGTGTTTAATGCTGTGCCTGAGCGGGATAGTCCAGGGTAGTGCTGAGCTATATCAGGAGACATGAATGAACCATACTTTTGGAGCAAACGTTAAGAGAGTCAATGCGGAATACTTGCAAGTTTAGGAGGCAGAGCTAGGACCAGTAGGAGTGCTGATATTTACTTGAAGTATGATACAGTCATAGCATCTCCTCCTCCTCCTCCTCCTCCGACTTTCGCTCGTTTCGGTGGCTAGATCCTTTGATCATTCTACTCGTACCCTGAAGGACCCATGAATAAATGCATAGGTCATGGCTTCTTCCTAGTTACTATGCACACATCGTACGCCCTCACACCAGCTTTTGCGATTCCAATCATAGACGCATACCCGGCCGGGGAGCCATGAATAAAGACACAAGTGACAATCACGGCATCCTGACATACAAGTACACCCACTGCACGGGCCCGTGTGCATCGTGAGCCCTCTCTGGCTCTCAGACTCACTGCCCACCATGCGTAATCCAATGTCCCATGATGTAGACTAATGATTGTAGTACTAGTACTCAGTAGTAGTGGTAGCCATGGAGCCCTACACATACCGTATGTGTAGGGCTCCATGGTGGTAGCCATGGATTTGCCCCCATTGTACCGCCCACAACTCAGCCATCAGTATCTTCTTGATACAATGATAGGCCGGGCGTTGTATCTCCGTGGTCTTAGCTAGATAACTGGCCACCATACTAGTCTTCACATGATCATGAACTGAAACATACACTGCTACTACTAGCACTACTACACACACAGCACAAGCGCTAGTACTAGTAGTAGTAGCAAAGCAGTCACATACACATTTACAAGAAATCACTGGCGGTTTTAACCCTGTACATGTAATTGTCCTTTTTTGAGCGGATCTCTACCTGTCTGCTGTACATTGTTTTTGCTCTGACCACGCATTATGCCCTTCCACAGATATGAAGGTACGTGCAAGAGCCATACTGACAGTACGTTTTGAGTATGACCAGATGACTTGAAAGGGAGTGGAGGGGGCTTGGCTGTTGACGCAGTGACTCGACTGGCGTCAGTGTGCTGCCAAAGTGTTGACTGTTGTGCATGTAGAGCCCTAGCCTAGCCCTAGGCCCTGGGGTCCAGTGGGGAGTGGGGTAGACCAGTGCACATGGTGATTGGTGTAGGCTGTAACCTCCGTGTCCCAGGCCAGGGTGTACATGGTGTACGTGTAGACTGTGTGGTGAACACAGCTATGTATGGTGTGACTATGCAGGACTATTGTTGTGTGTCCGCAGTCTGAGGATTTCTTTAGCTTTGCTATGTGCATGAAACGCAGCGCTACAACTATGACTTAGTGCATCTACCCACCCCCTCTCTCCCCTGCCGCTTCCCCTCTTCTTTCTCTTTCCCTCATACTTCCATTTATCTGGTGCGTCCAGAGCGTAACGACGGAGCACCTGGCCCCCACCACCATGGCTGCTGCATGTTCCCATTGCGGTGCACCACATGGCTTTCAGTAAAGAAAAAAAAGAAAAAAAGCCGGTTGTCTCTGTTCTCTTCTGCCTTTGTGGCAATGCTCTATCCTCGTGGTGTTGAACACTCTTACTTCTTAGGTAATCTGGGAACTCCTCGCTATTGTCATGACAATTGTATACATAGTCACGTGGCACAACCTGACAGGAGACATAAAGGATGATAGCCTCCCTGGTTTTGAGTCAGTGCATCAATGCAATTCCCAAAGCAATAGGCAGAGCGCTGTTGCTCTAGCCCTTACTCCTTAGCTGTTGTTTGTTTGTTGTGGTTCTGCTTCAGGACTACAGTACATCACGCCTACTCTGCTGATCCCTGGCCAACTCTCAACTGCAGTCTGCTACAGCTGTGACTCGTGTGAGCACGGTGCCAGTGCCAATGACAGCGTCTGTGCGAATCATTCGAATGACAGCTAGTAAAAGTTGGGCACGTGTGGACTCGATCCAACTGATCGCTGACTCCCTGATCCAACAACAAGTCACGCGGATCGCAGTGGAAGTAAGTTAGTTAGCTCTACCTACGGCCCTTATCTCTGCCGTAGCTGCAGTACACGGGCGACAATTCTGCAGAAGTCCTTACCTAAAAGACTGAAATACATGGTAAGTGCTGCGCTGCATGTCGCCTGAACCAGTTGTACTTGAAGCCTGATGTCAGTGATGAAGGCTGGAGAAAGCCCCATTACCACTGATGTTGTGATAACTTTACTTTACTGGCTTGGCCCAAGACAAGAGAAAACCTGGCAAGTACTTTCAGTGCCCGCCCAGTGCACAGACTACTCGGACACTCTGATCTGTGCAATTGATCCACGTGACACAGTCCGGGCCAAGATAATTGGCAAGAAGTCTGCAAGAACTCTGTGACCAGTTGATCCGAACACCGAATCCCGGCCCGTGCATACAGCCAGTGTGATCGACCGACCTCGTACTTCGTACATCCACCGTCTTGTTGTACACACGAAGATACTGCATTGACTGCACTGGGTAGGACGGTCGATAGACAGACATCGTTGCAAGTAGTGACGTGATGACACTCGAACAGCAGCATTGTCAGATCAGCGTGGAAAAGCATCGAGCCCAATCCAAGTCAGGTCAGATCTCCCTGTTTCCCCTTGTAGACAGTTTGTAGCTTGGATGCTAGAAAAGTAGATTGTTGGTTTAGCTCCCTCCACTGTTCTGTGCTTATCGGAAAGAGTGCCACAAGGGGTCTCTACCAGCAAGTAACAGTTCATCAGCCAGTCGTCGCCAACCCAATCAACCCGAACCCTCAGCCTCGTGTACGTCGTGCATCACACATTTGTTTTTAGCATTTTTTTAGAAAATTCCCCTTTTCATCAAAGAAAACTTACAATGGAGCCAGAAGTAGTGGTAACTGATGGTTCACCTAAGCAAGATGAGAACCCAGAAACGTTCGGCATGTGTGATACCTTGGCAAAGGGTGCCAGCACAGCCATCTCGATCAAGTCAAGTCGAAACAAACATGGTAAAGGAGGACGTAAAATACCGCAAATGGCTGTCTCCCCCATGCGAGACGAGTCTATGCAAATGGCTGCTCTGGCCACTGCCAACGCTAAGCGAACAAGGCGACCACGCAATGGGCCTAGGGACATCCGCGGAAACCCGAAGAAAGGTATGCCCGCCAGCCCTGGTTTGCCTTTCTGCAGGCATTTGGTTTATGAACATGTGTGCACATGTGTGTCATGCGTAGCACTTGTAGATCTACAACGTATATAATGTACTAGTACACAAAGTCACAATCAGTTCACATCCTCGAACTCTGGGTGTATTGCGAGTGTAAGAGCCTCTGTCCGAGAAGCATGCTAGTGTGTGTGTGTGTGTGTGTGTGTGTGTGTGTGTGTGTGTGTGTGTGCGTGCGCATGCGTTGTGTGTGTGCGCGCGCGTGCGTTGTGTGTGTGCGCGCGCGTGCGTTGTGTGTACGTTGTGCGTACGTTGTGAGTACGTTGTGCGTGCGTGCGTTATGTGCGTTTGTGCATATGTGTGCGTGTGCGCGCGCGTGCATCTGTGTGTATACGTGTGTACGTTTGGGTAGGACACCCGTGGTGGTGAGTGTATGTGGGTGTATGTGCATATTTGCATGTGTGTGTGTGAGTGAGTGCGTGCATGTGTGTGTGTGTGTGTGTGTGTGTGTGTGTGTGTGTGTGTGTGTGTGTGTGTGTGTGTGTGTGTGTGTGTGTCCCATATGGTGCAGTGGTATGTGCAGCGATTTCCAATCGATAGGTTGCGGGTTCGATTCCCGACGATTATGGTCACACACGTCTTTCTTCTCTTTCTCAGACTCTTCCTGACTTTTCTTTCATTCTCCTGGGTGGTTACCAACAGCCAGTGCATGCCAGAGTATGTGGTGTGATGTGTGAGCGGGAAAAAAAAAGAAAAAAAGACCAAAAATAGGGATTCACTGGCCAGAAAAAGTCACTTCAAATAGCTGTATGGTGTAGACCAGGCTGAATAGTGATGGTCAATTCTTCAGCCTTGCAAGCTGTTGAATGGTGCAATCCCAGCACAAGTTGCTATGGCTTCTGCCGTAGCATTGCTATCATCGCCTCAATGCTATCATCGCCTCCGGCGATGGGCGTCAAAGGTCAAGGTGTGTGTGTGTGTGTGTGTGTGTGTGTGTGTGTGTGTGTGTGTGTGTGTGTGTGTGTGTGTGTGCACGTATGGGTGCGTATTTTCATGTGTGGGTGGGTATGTGGGTGCATATGTCACTATGTGTGTAGGTGGGGCGCAAGTGTGTGTCTGTGTGTTTGTGTGTGTGTGTGTGTGTGTGTGTGTGTGTGTGTGTGTGTGTGTGTGTGTGTGTCCCATATGGTGCAGTGGTATGTGCAGCGATTTCCAATCGATAGGTTGCGGGTTCGATTCCCGACGATTATGGTCACACACGTCTTTCTTCTCTTTCTCAGACTCTTCCTGACTTTTCTTTCATTCTCCTGGGTGGTTACCAACAGCCAGTGTATGCCGGAGTATGTGGTGTGGTGTGTGTGTAGAAAAAGAAAAAAAAAGAAAAAAATGGAAAAATGAAAAATAGGGATTCACTGGCCAGAAAAAGTCACTTCAACAGCTGTGTGGTGGATACCGGGCTAAAAATAGTGGCGGTCAATTCATCAGCCTTGCAAGCTGTTGAATGGTGTAATCCCAGCACAAGTTGCTATGTCTAACATAGCTGTTCGCTATCATCGCTCCCGCGATGGGCATGTCTAAGGTCTAAGGTGTGTGTGTGCATTGGTGGTCGATTCACATGGCTTCGCCAGTTGTGTGGATTAGACAGTAACAGTTAAAAATTAAATATAATTTATCTGGCGCAAGTCTTGATCTGTCTCATTCAGATCTTGTTCGCTATCGTTGCTATAAGAGAAAATCTGTGGGTGCACATCCAGTGCATTTGCAGATTTGCGTGCTTCTCTTGCGACGGGCGTATACATGGTACATGGTGTGTGTGTGTGTGGTACATGGTGTATGTGTCACGTATAGTGCAGAGTTATTTAAAGTCGAGTTCCATCAAGAGGTTTGCGGGTTTCCAAAAAAGTTGGGATTCGCTGGCCAGGAAAACCACTCCAGAAAGCTGCGTGGTGTTGACCAGACTAAACTATTGGCAGTCAATCATTCTGCTTACCAAGCTGTTGGATGGTGTAATCCCAGCACAGGTTGCCATGGATCCTGGTGTCGCATCACTATCGTCGCCTCTGGCGAAAGGTGCCCAATGCGTGCGCGTGTGTGTGTGTGCGCAGTGCATGCGGTGTGGTGGGTGTGGATACCGCATAGTGATGTGTGTGTGTGTGGGGGGGGGGGGGTCGATGTGGTGTGGTGTGTGTATTTGCGTGGTTCACAGTGTGTGCACGTATGTCCATGCGCATGTGTGTGCTTTGTTGAATGTAGTTTTGTGTGGCAGGGCGCATGGGTGCACGTGCGTGTGTGTGCTGATGTTTGTGTGTGTGCTCGCTCGCTGGTGCCCGTGTGTTTGTGTACATGTGTGTGTGTGTGCTCGCTGGTGCCCGTGTGCGTGTGTCTGCTGGTGTTTGTGTTCGTATGTGCATTGTTTGTGTGTGTATGGTGCATTGTTTGTGTGTGTATGGTGCAGCGCTGTATGTGTGTTTGTGGGGGGGGGGGGGGGGGGGAGGTCCAGGGGCGTGTGTGTGCATGACTGTGTATTATGGTGTGTCGTCATACAGGGCGCGCTTATGTGCATGATGAGATTGTGTGTTTCCCATAGTGCTGGGTGTGTGTGTGTGTGGGGGGGGGGGGGGGGGGGTGGTAAATCAATGGAGTGAATGGTAGTGTGATAACACTAATACTAGTAATAGTAAGATGGTGCTGTAACTACAGTCTGCTCAACATGCTGTCCAATTATCCATGGTGTGATAAGACAGTGGCAGTGAGTGCAGCCACTGCAGGGTGCTTAATCCACTTGTATAGCTAGTGCCCCCTTGTGAAGCTAGTGCCCCCTTATGCAGCTAGTGCCTCCTTATAATTACATTGTCATTGTCACTTGAGTGCCTATCAGCTTGTTGCTGGGCAAGCTGCCATGCTGGCTGGGGATGTGTGGGGCCCAAGTCATACTCTCAGTCACATTGCTGGCATGTGTGTCTGTGTGTGTGTGGATGTATGTCCATGTATGTACAATGTATGTATGTGCATATGTGTGCAAATGTGCGTGTGTAGGTGCATTTGCCCCTGTCAACTCTGCAAGTGCAGCATTGAATGTACACCCACTGATTTCCACAGATGGCAAGCACACCAGACAATATCTGCATGACCACACGCATGCACACCACCACACTGTACATCCATTTCCGTCCATCAGGTCGTAGTGAACTATACTTGCCTGATGACTACGTGTACGTTTGTAAATGCGCGTGTTGTGTTTGTTTCCTGTGTGTACTGCAGAGGGAGGAGGTGGCAAGGGCACCTGGGGAAAGATAACGGATGTGCTGGACGGAAAGGCCGCTGCAGACAGCAAGGACCCAAACTACGACTCCAGCACTGAGGTAGGACAAACTGCAGTGAACATTTAAAATGTGTTGAACACCTGGCTATAGTGGTCGCGAGCCCAAGAACGCTATTTCCAAGGGGTTAACCTGGTGCGTTCCTTATTTTTCAGCAATCCAGCTGCGTTTTTATACGGCATTCTTAGAAATGCTTCATGAAGTAAATTGTACTCGATTACATGTATGCCAAAAGTGTGCCTGAAAAACCACAACACTGCCATTCTAGCATTTCAGGCTGGACGTTCTTCGGCGCGTGACTCTGCTGTATTTTTCTACTAGTATTTTATATGAAAGTGTCTACTGTATTCCCGAATGCTAGTACAGTGAGTATCGTTTATAAAGTGACCGGGTGTAACGATATACCGGCTATAATGATAGAACTCGCCAAAATCAAAATCAAATCACAAAAAATACAGCTAAAATATCACTATACACACTATTATCGGCTATACCGATATATCGCTTATTGTGATGGGCTTCAGGAAGCTAACCATATCAAATGCACAGGAAAATATCGTATATACTGATCAAGAGTGATGATCACAAAACAATTGTTCTTCAAATTTAGTTCATTTCTTCCAAAACTGATCCATTGTTGCATGGATGCATCTGGCAGCAGACGTGATTGAGAGAAAATTCTTCCCTGTATGCTTTTCATTCTTTTTCCAGCATGTACGCATCATTTCATGCACAGTCATGTGCCATGTGTCAGTCATACATGCAAATCGGCTATAGTGATGCACCGGATATAGTGATAAATTATCGAAAATCAAAGGGGCACGTTATATCCACTATTTACTGTACTAGTAGTAGGCACGAGAAGCGGTGGCGGGGCCAGGCTGCTCTGCGGACCTTCTTTGTGTCTGCGCAGACACAGCGCGCCATAATGTATTTGGATCATGAGGAGGGGGGAGGAAAAGGGACTGAATAATAGTGAGGTTCCGCACTGCGTAAAGTTGAGCAACTTTACGTTGTGATTTGCCAAGGGCAGCCACGCGATTTGAAAACTCTGTGTGGCGGAACACAGATCGGCATGCAGTTTACGTAAGACTTTCCGTAGATCGACTACGTTTTTTACTAACGTAATTCCGCTATGCGGAACCACTGTAATAGTGAGAAACGTGGACAATTGGTAGATGGTCGTGAGAGAAGCAGAATGGGAGATTTCATATAGTGAGGAGGGAGGGAAGACGCTAGTGAGGCGCTGGTCTATACCGTTTCATAGGGCGTCGGTGGCTGTTTGCCAGTTCAGGTGCAGCAGGTACGTGTTGCACTATTCCTTGAAGGACAGCAGCTGTCTGGGTTGCAGCCCTGCTGGTAGGATGGTTGCCGGTAGACTATTCCACAAGGGAATAATGCAGTCTGGGTAAGAAGACCCCCCACAGGTTGCTACTAGTGTGCGCGGGCAACGTTGGCTTTAGCTGAATCGGATGGCAGTGGGCAGTCTCTGTTGCTAGCCGAGTTGATCGACCATCCACTGGACAGGGGCTGGCTGGGGGTGATAGGATAGGCCTCAGGGGGTGTGTTGTTGGGAGATGGGACGGCTTGAAGGTGAACCACAGCGCAGCAACCAGTCAGCTGTGTCTCAGGCTGGGAAGCCAGGCTCCCGGGCCAATGATCTTCAGCGCCTTGTGTCGTATTCTGTCCAGCCTGGATGTGCATGAGCCCATCCACACCAGGCAGCAGTATTCAATCGTTGGCCGCACGAGGCCTTTGTAGACTGCCGTGCGGCCGCCAGAGTCCAACAGGGGCGCAACATGTTTCAGAAAGTGAAGGCGTTGGGCTGCATTTGAGGCCACAGCCCGAAGTTGTGCTGAGAAAGACAATTGTGAATCAAATGTCACACCCAGAAGTTTAATTTCCTTCTCTTCAGGGACCATTGCGCCATTGAAGATCACTGGTAAGAGCTCCGGGGAAGGCCTGCAGTGGTCAATGCGGAGGGCCTGACATATTCCACAAAGTCTCCTGGGTCATGGTTTTGTAAATTCTGTCTTCAGGTTTACTTTTGTGTATTGGTTGTGCTGCCCCATCCCGGGTCACGTGTCAAACTTTCCCGCCATCATCTTTAGCTCTCACTTTTCCGTACATACAAGCATCGAACGAATGGGCTCGATGGGGTAGGCATTTTCAGATTTATATCGCAACTTGGTTAAATCTGTAGGTCGACGGGAGAACTCTCAGCTGTCACCTCGAACAATTCCCAAAACGATAGGAAAAGCGGTTCTTGAGTTATAGTTCACTTTGTAAACTTGATCAAATTTTTTTTATTGAACAAGGCGGGGGTAAAGTGTTGAATCTCTAATACGGTACGTAAAGAAAAATCCATCGTTTGCCTAAGGAACGTTTCCTACTACTTTTTCTTCTCTCCTCTGTACTAGAGCAATTACGGACGGGTGTATGATGACAGGGACCGTTAAATGTTGTGGCGGCAAAATTTAAAAAAAAAACTGCAAGCTGAACTTGTTATACTTTCAACTCTTAAGCTGTGTTCAAAACTGGCGCGTGTACGCGTGACGCCACGCGTTTGTGCGTATTTTTGCTGGCTTTCGGGGCGTCATGCGTACGGAAACGCACCGAAATGGAAATTCCTACATGTTGGAATTTTCAGCGCGTATCAGCGTGCATGCCAGTCACTTTGACTGGCGGGGTCAAAACATTAGTACTCGAAGGTGTCGCACGCACTAAATACCACTCGGATTGCTTTTTTTGTGAAAGCCTGAGCGCGCGTTTGGGCACGCATGAACCGCAAGCGCACCGCGTCCACGCGCCAGTCGGGAACACAGCTTAACAGTACTGTAAAACATGTAAATTTAGGTGTACTAAAATTTCGGTGTCAGGGACCTGATGGGTTTCAGGTGTAACTTAAAATTAGGTAACCAGCATTCCCTTCACATACAGCACATACTATATATTACTATTGTGCCATTTAGGTGTAATCTAAATATAGGTGCCTGGTATTTCTACCGAAATCACTGAAAATAACCTGTTTTACAGTATGTGTCGTGATTTGACAGACAAAGAGATAACCAAAGCTTGTACACTCATACCTCGTTTATCCGGGCAGCCCGGGACCTTGCATTGCCCGTAACTTTGAAATGTCCGTAACTCCGAATCATATACATCTTGATGGGGAAAAGGCCATAATAAACATGGCATGTGACAGAACATGGCATGTGACGTCACTTTTTCTACACAAAGTGACAAAGGAGTAGTAATATTTCCACTGAAATTTGCCCCCAGGGTGCCCGGTAGACCGAAGTGCCCGTAACTTCGGGGTCCGGATAACCGAGGTATGAGTGTATTAGGCTTTGTTAAATATAAAGTTGTTTTCTCTACTTTCTTGTCCAGGATGAAATTGTTATTTCCGAGAGTTCTCCTGTGGTGGATGAGGCGGACGTGGCAAGCATTGTGCTGCCCCTCTTCAAGGTCAGTGGTGTTTGTTCAGGTCGTATGGTGCATGAATTTATGCTTTCGGCACTCTAGTAGTATTGTTAGTCTTGTGCAGTCGATGACCTTCGATTCAATATACAGATAATGCATTGCCACCCAGTAGAAACGTCGGGAATCACTCATTGCATCATAAAAAATGATGTCAACTTGAAGTTCTTCCTGGACAGTACGGTCTAGGTGTGTTATGCACCCTTGTTCTAGGCACTAGCACTTGTGTAATATGGCTGGGGATCTTGAGTAACACCACTGTTTGCTGCAAGAATTGATACGATTAGTGCCGCTTCATCATTCCTCGTCTAGACACACCGTTTTTAGCATCCTCTCTCCGTTTACTGCATCCTGTAATACTGTGCGACACTGTACTTGTCGCTTGTGATCTACAGGGTGTGCCAGCCCTATAGATCACAGTGGCTCATCCTTATGACATGTGCCAACCTGTTTAGGGGCAATGGAGAGTACACAAATGCAGCTTGTGTCTGTGATCTGAATGTGATGCCATCTAGTTTTCTAAAAGCAGGCTTTGTTCACATGTGTTCCCTTTTGTCGTGCAGGAGTACTGCTCGCATGGAAAGTCCGAGGACATACGCGACTCGCTTGAGCAGTACAACTTCTGTGGCGTGGAGCCCCAGATCATTATCTCTATCATCGAGTATGCTTTGGAGCACACGTCCTACATGCGCGAGCTGACATCCATCTTGATCTCGGATCTGTACGGTGTGACACTCTGCGTGGACGACTATGTTTCAGCGTTCACCAATCTCCTCGACAATCTGGAGGAGCTGTGTTTGGACACACCGGACTGTGCCGTGGCGCTGGGCAAGTTCATGGCGCGCTCCATCGCGGACGATTGTCTGCCACCGGCTTTCATCAAGTCGTTCGACATTGGCGAGCGTACCTGTGTCAAGTAAGTGTGTATGTACACGATTGCATCGGCATATCTGACCTGCAACGCGACCAAAGGGTGCGTGTGTGTGTGCGGTGTGTGGTGCTAGGGCTACGTAGCGCAAGGCGCTGTTTTATTCATGAGGTTAAATTTCCTGGCCGAGACTTTGCAATCCGATCGCGTGTTCCATGTCCAACATGCTCTGTGACACTGGCCTACATCAGAATCCACACAAGCCTCCGCGCTAGCCTCTGCACCGCTACTAGTCTCGAGGGGTCCAGCAGCTGTGTCCTGTGTTTAGTCGGTGTGCTCCTTGGACTGCTGATATGCTGCAGCCTGGCTGCGTACTTACTCCTCTCACGGTTATGGAAACATGCATGCATCATTGTTGCTTATTCTGCAACTTTACTTGTGTTGGTGGCGGTGTTGTGTTTGCTATCAGGGAGAGTATTGAGCATGCCAATCTTCTGCTGGGAATGTCGCACGGTCTGGTGCGACTTGACTCAGTGTGGGGGCCAGTCCTCGGTGGACTGCGGCCTGTCAAGACCCTGGAAAGGGATATGAATATCATTCTCCAGGAATACGTCTCCTCCGGCCAGCTGGATGAGTGTGCGCGCTGTCTGAAGGTAAGTTGTGCAGCAGCAGTTTATATGATGGCGTTTCGCTTTGTGGCTGCATCGTGATGGTGATGTTCTTTCTATCTATGTGCGTATTTAGTTCAAGGCTTGTCTTATTCTGTACGCAGCTATTCTATTGTGCAGAGCCTTGATCTATAACTTTGGTGCGCTGACGTGCTGTAGCACTCGTTAATTCGTACCACTGCTCTGCCTGTGTGTGTGTGTCTATGTGTGCGCGTCTGTGGGTGTATCTGTGTTTGTGTTGCGTGTGTGTGCATATTTGCATACATGTGTTCTTTGCTCTGCCTCTCTTCAGCAACTGAACGTCCCGCACTTCCATCACGAGTTTGTGTACCTAGCCGTCATGCTAGTCATGGAGGGTGATCAGCCGCAAGTGCACGAGAGCATTGCCAAGTGCTTGAAGTACCTGTGCGATCAGCAGTGCATCACCCAGGCACAACTGGAAAGGGTAAGACCACCTTTGTGCACTTCAATACAAGGCCAGCATCTCTTAGGTACATGGCTAGGCTACATTGTCACATTGACAGCATTGCTTAGGGTGTCGTGTTGTCACACATTCATAGAATATCTTGGATAGCGGTGAGATGCAGCAAAAATCTACGATGAACCACGTACATAAATGGGTGTTCCACGGTATGGGCCGCTCTGGGGATGTTCAGTCCCAATGCCCCTCCCCCTCCCTTAACCCTTTCCGGGTTTATGACGAGTATACTCGTCATGCAGACCCCATCGCATCTGGGTAATGACGAGTATACCGTAAAGTACCGTTGATCCGCCCCCTCTCTAATTCCCGCCCCCTGTCGATTTTCTCCTTGTGAAGCGACTTCGCCGTATACAACGAAATACGATGTTGAACCGACGCATGCACTGCTGTACACAATACTTGCCAATCCAGGATCAAAATGTGCACAATCCAGCACATTGAGTCTGATCCTCTACGTTGTTGTACATCGTACTGCACTTGACAGCCTTGATCTAATTCCCGCCCCCTGCCGAAAATCCAGCTGGGAAGCGACATGGCGTGGGGGCGGATCAACGGTACTTTACGGTACTCACGCTATACTTTTTGTACAGTCCATGTACCGTACGCACTGATAGATCACTGTACAAACAGCGATAACTCTGGAACGGATTATCGCATCGCGAAGATCTATAGCTCATTGGAACGGTCTTGGAAAGGGCTTTCCAGAGGTGTTTTCGGTGTGGCGATAGCTCAACAAATGATCGAGCGGCGATAAATTGAACGCGCGATTTCGATCTGAACGTTTTTCTTACTTTCTATCTGGCGATATTTTTGCGACTTTCAAGTCATTCAAGGGGATTTCCCAATGATGTGTGAAAGGCAGCATGACGTATGAGTACATCATTTGAATCGCTTGAATCTCACGAGCTCGATGCAGTTTGAATCGTAGCTCTTCGTTGAGTATAACCCCCAAACCGAAGGAAATAGTTGAGCGTGGTCTTGATGCCAAACTGGCGCACGGTAGGGACACTGTTGGCGATGCTAGAGGCGTCCTTGAGGTGCTGTATGCTCTGAAAGTACGTGGAAGATGACGAGCAGGAAAGCAGCTTTCCAGTAAGCCACAAGTTGTGAAAATCCGTTGAGAAACAAAAATGTTGTGACAATTTGTTTGTTGCTATCTCCACAATTGTACTGATGCACTGAATTTCAGTGCCCAGACGTAGTAAATGCACTGTGACCCTGAAAGGGTTAACCCTTTCAGTGCCAAGGGGGTCAGAAAATTCAAATTTTTCGGAGTTGAGCCGAACTCAAATGTTTCATAGCTCAGCTGTATATCCACGGATCTTTACAAACGATGGCTCTCTGGAAAGTTATCATGGCCAGGCAGACAGCTGTGAAGAGAAAATGCAGCGAAAATAGTCTTCCTCGCGAGGGCGCCTGAGCGAAGTCCGTTTTCTGCATTTTCGTAGCATCTGCACTTTCTCACGCGCGCGATCGCAGTGCAGTCAACTTTCAGCGCACAAAATTCGGACAAAGTTGGCCTGAAAGCCACTGAAATCTCGATGTTTTAAAACCCAATACGCATGGGTTGCCGCGAAAGAAATAGAGAAACCCGCGATGCGCATACGTTATGTTCTCGCTCCACATAAACTGGCATACACAGAGACATAGACAGCAATAGCGACAACACACAAAGTGAAGGGTAGTTGGCCGCAGCCAGATGTGAACCGGATAACGAGTGAGGTATGGAAGCAAGCAAGGACTGAGAACAGAGTGTCTCAGATAGAATAGGCGTTCCAGTGGATAGCAGAAATAGGCCATGATGCAGAACCACTTGGGACCGTCAGATTAATTTTCCTGGACCGAGCCAGCCGGGAAAAAACCCTCGCGCCGACGGACGCATTTGTGAGGGAAAAAACCGGGTGTATATCCCCAATGGCGATTAGTCATCATGTAGGTATGGCAAGCACATCACGGCAAACAGTGATAAAAAGCATTGATAATATGCACAGAAATAAAGGGTGGGAGGGCAGGGACACTGGTGAGACACAAAACTGACTAAAGAAGTCAGGAAAAGAAGCGACAACAAAGAACACACCAGATGCCATATTTGCAACTGAAAATATTTCGCGAGAAATCATTTCTCGCCTATCTTTTCTACGCGCGACAATTGTTTGTCCAAGCGCGCGCACTTCAGGCTTCGCCCTGGCGATATCTATCCCCACGGACACAAAGCGATGTGATGAGTCGATAGCCAAGGTCTTCCTGAACACGTAGAGTGGTCGTTTGTAACTTTCCTGTGTGTAGAAGTGGAGATACGAATTTATTTGTACACACATACTCATTTTGGGCGACTTAAGTCGCCCGTGGCACTGAGAGGGTTAATAGAATATCTTGGATAGCGGTGAGATGCAGCAAAAATCTACGATGAACCACGTACATAAATGGGTGTTCCACGGTATGGGCCGATCTGGGGATGTTCAGTTCCAATGCCCCTCCCCCCCCCCCCCCCCCTCCCTTAAGAGATGTCCAAGTGTACTCTTTAACCCTTTACCATCCAACCAAAATTCCCCAGCAGTCCCAAATGCAATAATTCCCACCTTATTCTGAGAATATCTTCGGTTCTAATCAACCAATTTTCACAATCTTGGGCATTCTGGAAAGCTCTCCACGAGCTGCGTACATTGAGCTCAAACAGGACACTACCGAGATCACATATCCAGCGCCAGGGAGCTGCGAATAGACCCCATCGCTGGATATACGAGGAAAGTGTCTCCTCGCCAGCCATTTCTCGCTCCTTCATCGTAAACATTCCAATTGTTTGCTTGAGTTTCTTTTCATGCTGCCCACGCGCTCAAAGCATGCCAAAGCGACTCAGCATGTCAGGAGAGGGGAAATTTCCCGCTCAAGGCCAGTCACTCGGAAAGAAATTCCGCCAAGAATCGATCGAGTTACGAATGTTTTAGTGTATGCATGTCCATCGATCTCTAGAGATCGATTCAAGTACGCACGGATGGTAAAGGGTTAACTTGCAAGCACATCAATAATAAAGTGACGCGTGTTTGACTTGTCAATTGAAAAGTCAAACGAGATGCCTCTGTTACTCTGCACTGTACAAGGAACACACATATCTCTCTTATCCGGGCGGTCCAGGACCGGGTACTGCCCAGAACTTTGAAATGTCCGTAACTCTGAATCGCGTACCTTTTGATAGAGAAGGGCCAGGAATCTAACTTATTACCTCACTATTTGCACGAAAATTAGCAAAATAATACTATTTCCACTAAAACTTGCCCACAGGATCCAGATAAGGGAGGTATGAGTATAGCTACTTTCAGTGTTTGTTGCAGTGGAAAGCTGTGTGAAAGAGCTACAGCATTCCCATGCAACGATATCGTAAAAAGAATGCACACGTGTCGGCAAGCCCTGTTTTATTATAACTTTGATCTATGATCAGAGTCATCAGGTTATGACACCATGGACTTCGTTTTCAGCAGAACGTTTACCCACCTCCAGCTGAGGGGTGTTCGTGTGATGCTCCACGATTCTTACTATAGTTCTGCAGAAGGCTCACTTGTAAATAGCGTGTTATTCCTGTGTTTATGCAGGGCTTTGTGCGCGTCTTCGAGAACGTTGAGGACATCCGTTTGGATGTACCGTTCGTCTACTCAGTGCTGTCCAGTTTTGGAGCACGTTGCCAGAGCAGCGGTGTCATCAGCAAGGACATCTATGACCAAATCCCGACTAGGTAAGGTTTGCACTCCTCTGTTCGACTAGGTATGGTTTGCACTCCTCTGTTCGACTAGGTACTAGGTATGGTTTGCATTCCACTATTGGGCATGAGCGCCCTATTTAGGCAGCTACTTGTACATGTACATGCCTTTTGAGTGGAAAGTTACAGCACACCTATTCCTTACACTTACAGTTTGTACTTGTGTGTTGCCTCTGTTGTTCTTGGCTGCCACACTGCTGATTTTTGTACGAGATTAGCCAGCCATGTTGCAGGTTTGTCCTCAGATCACTGACTATGTGTCCTGCAGACTGCTTTGTTTTTGGCTCGGGTTATTTTTTGTTTTTGTTTGTTTTTGCGATGGTTAATGTGATTTTGGTTTCTTCATGTGTGTGTGTGTGTGTGCTGTGTGTTTGTTGTGGTTTGTGTGACAGGAACCGCCAACGTTTCATCAGTGACAGCGAGGGTGACACCTACGTCGAGGAAGTTCCAGTCATGGCGAAGTAGGTAGCTGGTCCAGCTTGGAGTATCGGTGGCTGAAGGGCTGCTGAATTCGTATCCTGGAACCCAGACACCTACCAGTAGCTCTTGCCTTCCCTTGGTACAGATCACAGCGATTTGCCAATAGTCTCATTGGCAACTGAACCCGTGTTGTCTCTGCATCCTGCAAGTGGCGTTTCTACTCGGGGCTTAGTTTGCAACGATGTGTAGACTTCTGCTGAGTTGCGGGTGCAAGGTGTGCGCCGGTTGCATGTCTTCCATACTACTGTTGTGAGTAGTGTACCATCACCACTGTTTGTCCATATTATCCTTTCATTCGAGTTACGGTCATGAATCATGCAAATGTGTGTGTGTGTGTGGTGTGTGTGTGGTGTGTGTGTGCGTGCGTGCTCTCGAGAGGGAGATTGTGCATGCGTGTTGTTTTTGTCGTTGTTGTTGACTTGGGTTATACCATTGATGGTAGTGCGTGTTCGTTTCTAGCCTTGATGATTGTGATTCATCTCTCTGTTGTTGTTCTCCCTTTACTGTGCCAAAGAACCAGTGTTTCTTTGTTCATTGTTCCTTTGTTGTTTTGATTGTTTCGTCGAGACCAAAGTTGCACTCACGAGCCAGAGTACCTCCTTTCTATCCTCTTTTAGCTGTGCTGTGTGCGTGCGGCCAGGCCGTTAATTAGGAACTGGCACTTCTTTACTTTGTGAACTCTTCTCTTTTTTTTTTATAAAGCTTTGCTTCTGTCCTTGCTACTAGCTCCCTCCTGGGGTGCATATGATGGCAGGTCGTGTGACTCATAACGCGCTTCTCTGCGGTGCTCTTTTAGGCTGGGTCTGATGTAGGAGATCCGCTCCACTTTCTTCTTTCGTTGTCCCTTCTAATTAATTTCTTCTCCTTACTCCACATACTATACTTACCATATTGCACTAGTGATAGTACTGTGCATTTTTCCCAGGAGGTGCTATGTCCGCCACAATACCACCATACCTTGATACTGTATATGCAAGACCCTTTCTTATCGCCTACGAGTTACTTTTCAACGTGCAGTTTTATTCAATGCATTTGAGCTCATTTCTGTCAACTCCACTTGTTTAGCTCAGAAGTCTTTCTTCCTCTCCTAGCTTGTTCAACACTTGCTGGCATAGCAACCACATTCTGTGGTGGTGGTGTGTGTGTGTGTGTGCTTGTGTGTGTGTGTGTTATGTGTGTGAGTGTGTGTGTGTGTGTGTGTGTAAATTGCTATGTCTAACACAGCTGTTCCCTATCATCGCTTCCACGATGGGCAGGTCTGAGGTGTGTGTGTGTGTGTGTGTGTGTGTGTGTGCATGGTGCGTGTGTATGTACATGGTGTGTGTGTGTGTGTGACTGTGTGTGTGTGTGTGTGGTGTTTGTACACACGCATGCATGTTTCCTGGGCTTGCTGGCTGGTTGGTTTTATTTTACTCACACAGGATGACGACCCAATGATAAAATTAAGATAATTGGGGATTCATTGGATATGTGCCGTGACCAAGAGTAACTCCTCCCTACAACAAGGCTACATGTATTGTAGAGGCATAATATCACAAAGCCACTGTCCAGGCCTTGCACAACGCTCTGGCATCCACGTCCTTTGACTTTTGTACAGCAAGCCATCCGATCGTGAGTCCAAGGGCCAGCCCTCACATTTCACTCCTTAGATCTTGCCTATTCTTGGTAGTACCGGACCAGTACATCATACCGGTAGTTTTTGTTTACACGATCAATGCATTTGTGCACGCGACTGGCGACAGTCGTGGCCCCATCCTTGATCAGGTGATCCAACCACAGGAATTTATCACGTACCCTAGGCAACTGTCGACGACTCATAGAACTACAAGTCAAGACAGACAAAAGGCAGCCTTCTCTGAAGTAATGACCATGTGGCTTTTTTTAGTCTACCACTAATCTGTACTAGCGTACCACTGCCGGTGCCACTCTAGCCACTACTCTTCTAGTGTCTATCAGGTGATCCAACCACAGGAATTTATCATGTATCCAAGGCAACGACCATTGTGCTAGTCTGTGATGACGCAGTAATCTCAGTATCCTAGCCAATACTACAAGTATGTGTTCGGCGCGCACATGATATTTTGATACCCGTCTAGTAGTAGATGTACTCTGTGGTGCTTTGACTTTGACGGTCTCGGCGAGAGAAGAAGAAGGCTCCGAGATCACCGATTCATTCGGAGAGCGGCGAAAAAAGGAGGAGACAATTTACCGAGGAGGCAAAAGGACCAATTCGCCATTTGCCACGCTGCATTCACTGTTGAGTGTTGTAGCGTCGTGTCAAGTGATTCGTGTTCTCCTTTCCTTCACCAACAAGCGGAGCCTTGCAATGCATCGTCAACCCAGCTTACAATGTAATGGTTGACGATCGCTGTGTTCAATAGGTAGACGCCACGGCATGGGTTGTGGCAAGCCATGGCTTACATCTGACGATGGTGATGATGGTGCTGGGTGAGTAGCTTCCGTCGCCCTATTCCCGGCAGGATGTCCTCGGTTAGACGTACCGCTGGCCGACCTGCGTCTCGCGCTGCCCTGGAACGACGTAGAACAGTGGAAGATGGCATTGCTTCCATCTCTGGTCTGAGGCCCACCGATGCATCCACTACTAGGCAGCCCCTCGGCCCAGTGCGGCAAAGGTCCGGATCCCTGGGTAGCGGCCGCCTGGAGCGACCTGGCAGTGCACTCTCGATGACCTCCGTGACCTCACAGGACCTACGCTCGCCTACCCCTGGCCCCAGCGCCCCGTCCGTCCGAAGCAGCAGTCGCAGCTCGGGAAATACTGCTAAGTCCTTCAAAACTAATTTCTGTGTCACTGTGCGGGTCAGGCCTGCTCTGCACCGAGAACTACAGTCCAAAGGAGTTGCTAAATGTGTTGAAGTCGTCGACGAAAACAATGCTCTTGTCATTCGGAAGCCCAAGGAGCGAGGCGCAGGCGCTGCTCCGGCACTCCTGGATGTGGATGACTTTGGCGAGCGATTGAGTGCCGCACCTGACCAGTTGAACGATGTGCATAGCTTTACTTATGACCGTATCTATGGGATGAGGTAAGATCTAGGTAACCTGTTCTGTGTTCGTCAACTGAATACACGCATAATTACCGTATTATCTCTAATATAAGCACGGTCCTTTATTTTTTCAATGTACCTCCGCCCCGTGCTATTAAAGGGGAAGTTAAGGCAAAAATTAAAATTTCACCAGTTGTAGTCTTCGGGGTGCTGAGTCGAATGGTCTTGGTCCGAGAAAGCTGAGACGCTCCCTTCCTACTTGAATCCCAATCGAACTCGCGCACTTCCACCGAAACTGGGTGACTGCGCCCTACTAGATGGGGATTTGTATGCAAAATCTCACTAAAAGCGCCATTTCGTTCTTATAAAAGCACGGATGACCGCGATTGGCCCATATGTTGTAGTCTTTTGGACGCTGAGTCGACTGGTTTTGGTCCGAAAAGGCTGCGATGCAGCGTTCCTCCTTTATTCCCAATCGAACATGGTTGAACAAGTGGTCACGTGCTCCTGGGTGCCCAAATCACCTGGTCACCACGCCAGCAGGTGACAACTTTCACACCAAGGTTATTTATTTATTTATTTATTTATTTATTTCTGCACCTCGTGGCATGTCAAGACAGCCAATTGAATTGAGGAGAGGGTGAGACCAACCACGGAAGAAGAGAAAAAAAGAAAATTAAGAGCACGTACACAAAGTGGGAAGGGATTAGCAACTTACAAAGCAATGGGATGCTCAGCGAGCTATGCAGCAGAAGTGGTGACTGTGACTTTGTTTACTGGGAGATACTGAAGTGCTGTCTGACGAGGGTACGGAATTTGGGCATATCTGGAGCTTGTCTAACACTGGGAGGCAGTTGGAGCCACGTGGAGTAGGAGGAAAAGAAAGGGGAATTTACGAATAGGGTAGACCTAGCTAGGGGGAGACGAACGCAGCTTCGGGTGGTGCCACCTGAATTGAACCAATTAAGGGACTGTAAATGAGCAGGGTGCTGGTCAAGGAAAATTGAATGCGCCAGGGTGCACTTGGAAGCATCAAGGTAATGTTGCAGAGTGGTAGTGGATGCAGCAGCATACAAGTCTAGATTTGAGGTATAACGATCAGTACGGAATATGATTCGCAGTATACGGCGATGGAGAACTTCTAATTTACCTATGTGGGTTTTGTTAATGGTGGACCAGGCAGGGAAGCCGTACGTGAAGAGGGGAAGAATGTATGATTTATAAAAATTAATCCGGCAATTTTTGGGCAAATGGGACAAGTGACTTGACATTATGCCGACAGATCGGCATACTTTGGACGACACATGATCAGCATGGTGAGACCAGGAGAGGGCGGAATCTATGACAATGCCAAGGTGTTTATGGTGGGGCGCTACAGAGATAGGGTGACCGGGATCATCGGGAAAGTGGAAGATGGGCACTGGATCTGTGGGAGGGGGAAACAGGAGGAGCTCGGTTTTGGTCACATTTGGCTTAAGGTACCAAGTGCTCATCCAGTGAACAATGTCGTTGATACAGGTCTGAACTTTGGGGTACAGGGTGGCGTGAGATGGGGAGGAAGCAAGGACAGTGGTATCATCTGCAAACAAAGAAATATTGGGAATTGAATAGGGGAGGTCATTAACGTATGTGAGGAAGAGCAGGGGACCTAAAATGGAGCCCTGGGGCACTCCGGATGTCACAGACTCGGGGTCAGATAAGGTTCCATTTACTGTGACGCACTGACTTCGGTCCAAGAGGTAGCTAGTTATCCAGGCGAGTAGGGAGCCGGAGACACCATGGGCACGAAGTTTGGCGATCAGGCCCTTGTGCCACACGGTGTCGAAGGCCTTGGAGAGGTCGAAGAAACAGATGCAGGAGACCTTCCGCTGGTCTTTTAGGGAGCAGAGGTCTTGGATTATGCGGGATAATTGCAGGGATGTGTTGTCCTTACGACGGAAGCCAGATTGTGCGGGGTGAAGAAGAGGGGAGATATGGTCGTACAAGCGGTCGTACACTATTCTCTCTAGCAGTTTGGAGACGCAGGACAGGAGGGAGATTGGTCGGTAATTAGACGGGTTGTTCTTGTCGCCTTTATTTTTGTACACTGGAATGACAGTGGCTGACTTCCATCGTGACGGGAATGTGCCGGAGGAGAGGGAAAGGTTAAAAAGAATGAAGAGTGGGCGGGCAATTGAGTAGCTCAGTTTCCTGAGGATCTCATTGGTGATCCTATCAGCTCCGGGGGATTTGTTCAGAGGCAGTCTTGCAATATACTTGTGAACAGTCGATGAGGTGATGATCAGGGAGTGCAATGTAGTTGCTGGTGGAGGTAGAGAGGAAATAGTGGGAATAGGAGCATCGGGGTCAACCTGTAAGCCAGCACTAACGAAGTGGCGGTTCAATAAGTTACCAATGGATGCCGGAGAGGTGCTTGTTCGACCATTGGGGCCCACCATCTTCGAAGGTATAACCCGGGCGCTGGTAGTATTTCGCAGTTGACGAATGAGTACAGGGAGGGATGGGAGGCGAGGGTTTGTGGGAGATATCGTGGCACGGAGGTTGCGGATGTAGCAGCGATGGCAGGATCTGGAAAGGCATTTTACATAGTTACGTTGGTGTTTGTATTTGTTGAAATTTGTAGGGGATGGGTATTTCCGGTAGATGCTGTAGAGATCGCTCTTGACTTTAATAGCTGCTTTCAGTGATGGAGTCATCCAGGGGCAGGGTTTGTGGCGTGATTTCCGACGAGGAGGTGAGGATCTTCCTATATATAGGTCCAAGGCACCTTCAAGGATGTCAGTGAATGCGGAGACAGCCGTGTCGATGCAGTGGGAGGCAAGGACCTGAGACCAGGGTACAGCTGCGAGAAAAACATTCATGGCATTCCACATGTTATCCGTGGCACTCAGGACATTGTATTTTTGTGTAGATGGTGGGCTACGGCAGGTGCTGGCTGCTGTGGGGGAAGACTTTGAGGAGGAGAACTCAGCCAGCAGGACGGCATGGTCTGATGCGCCAAGAGGAGCCAGGTGTTGAATGTGGTTGAGTTGGTTAGGGATGTTGCTCGCGATAAGGTCTAGACAGCTGCCAAGTCCATTCGAGCGGAGGTGGGTGGGAAAGGTTACCGATTGGGTCAAATTATAGCATGAGAAGAGGTTGTCAAGACTCAGACCCTGTGCATCCGTTTGGTCAGTTGAGCACCAGCCGGAATACCTACAGTTGAAGTCGCCTGATATCACAAGGGCTTCGGGCTTCCTTTGTGTTGATTGCAGGGCTATTTGGAGGCGGTCGAGAAAAGTCGAGAAGTCATCCGTCGACGGGGAAGGAGCACGGTAGATACAGGCTACTGTTAGGTGGGTTGTTGGCAGGTCAGAAGGTGAGACAAGCTTATGTTCAGCGAGTGTAAGCCGAAGTGCTAGCGCTTCCAAGCCCGGTTGCTGAAAATCCGGTAGCTGATCAATGGAAGTGCACAGACCTTCACGAACTAAGACTAGAACTCCTCCATACCCCCTGTGTGGGTCACGGTTCTGTCTATTTTCTAAAACAGGTCGGTCTCGACGGAAGCATTCATAGTGTGGCACGTGGAAAGCTTGTGTGGGAGTTAGCCAGGTCTCTGTGATGCATACTACGCTGGGTGTGTGATCTTCACAGATTTGAATGAGTTCGCCAGACTTGTTTGCTATGGAGCGAGCATTAAGGACACAGATTGTAAGTCGGTGAGTAGCAGCATGTACAGAATGGGGGAAGAAAGGTGGGGCAAGAGCGTTGAGAGGCGCAGGGGTTGAAGTGGAAGAGGAGGGATAAAGGTTACGCATTGGAAGCTGGCTTCGTCACTTTGGGGCTGTCCGCAAAACGCCACTTGCGTACTGAGTGGCTGATGGCTTCGGGCCAGAAGGCTCTGTCTAGTACACGCTCTTCATGTTCTGCAGCCACAGTGACTCTGGCATACGATGTGCCAAGGTATTTGGACTCCATGACGGAGCAATTTAATACCTCCACGTCCCTCGCTTCGCACCAGTCTCTGATGGAGTGAGCGTTGCAACCGCTGTTGATGCTTCCAACGTAGAGCACAAGTTTGTTGATGGGCACCACCCCTGTCAGGACGCACGGATCAGCAGGTTCCGTGTTAGGTGATTCCTTCACGTACCGAGAGGTTATAGTAGCCCGCAGAGCTTTGGATACGCTGTCCGTGAATTTGTCCTGCCGTCCTTTTCGTCTATGGTTCACCGCTTTCCACGTGTTCTGTGTTGGCTCTGTACTACATATGCCAGTGACCCCTGCTTCACAGCATTGTGTGTCGGCTGCGTGGACTGTACAACTACAAGTATCACTGGTGCATGCAGCACACATTGGGCTTTGTTGGGCAGGCTGGGTCTGGGTACTACTTGGACTTGTACCTTGTGGTGTTGCAGCATGCTGGGTGCGTACGGTATTACTGTAGGACTTCGCAGCTGGAGGTCCCATGGCCACGTTTTGTTGGGATGTGTACGTGGGTACGGTGTGTGGTAAGGGGTCAGGGAAGGAACACTTCTGTTGACGAAGCTCTACTACTTCACGCCTCAGCTCTTGGATTTCCAATTTCAGGGCCAACATTGTGCTGTCTCTATCTTCCCTCGACATAACAATCTCCTTGGACAAGGTTGAAACACATGATACAAGGCTAGACAATTGTTCCAACGTACCGTTTGGACTTGCTGGCTGCGGCAGCACTCCCACGCCCATCTTCCGGAGTTCTTTGACGAGTTCCGGGCGAGAAAGGCTTGATGGTTGGTCTACTGATTTCCGCTCGCCCAGGTCAATTAGGTCCTTGAATCCCACCAGGGCTAGGTCTAGATTCTCATCAAGTGACATCGTAAGGTACACAAAGGTTTGGTCACTGCTTAAGGGATGCTGTAGGAGTGCCGCTGAGGCTGATCCTCAGAGCACGAAAACCGCCAACCGTCCCCAAAAACTTCAAATTTTGATATCATGTAGAAAAATCGTGCATTCCCGCTGACGTACTCGCATTCAACTCGAGTGACAGGACTGCACCCAAAAATGGTCAAACAGGCTAGTAAGTTGTACCCTGCACTGGCTGCAGGCACGGTGACCAGGTGACTGGCGTACGCAGGAGCACGTGACCGCTTGTTCAACCATGTTCGATTGGGAATAAAGGAGGAACGCTGCATCGCAGCCTTTTCGGACCAAAACCAGTCGACTCAGCGTCCAAAAGACTACAACATATGGGCCAATCACGATCATCCGTGCTTTTATAAGAACGAAATGGCGCTTTTAGTGAGATTTTGCATACAAATCCCCATCTAGTAGGGCGCAGTCACCCAGTTTCGGTGGAAGTGCGCGAGTTCGATTGGGATTCAAGTAGGAAGGGAGCGTCTCAGCTTCCTCGGACCACGACCATTCGACTCAGCACCCCGAAGACTACAACTGGTGAAATTTTAATTTTTGCCTTAACTTCCCCTTTAATGGAGACGTTCCTTTATTGGAGACTGTTCCATTATTATTTCAACCTCATTTCAGAAGCATGTTGCCATGCCAAATCCATGGATGACACACACATTTCAGGGTTTTTTCGCCGGTACAGATAATGAATTTACACAGTGTCCTTATAATGGAGACTGGGCACTTTATTTTTTGAATGCCGCCCCAAGGTGTTCTATTATTGGAGACGTGCTATTATTGGAGACTGTGCTTATATTAGAGATAATACGGTATAAGTAAGCCTTGCTTGATAGTTTACCAGCAGGACCGGCGCGAGCAAGTTTTGATTGGTCTGGCCATACCATAGCCTTTCATACTTTGTATAATTATGATAGTTAGTTAGTTAGGCCATGTAAAATAATTATATTGATTGTTTATCGTCAGATTTTCCCGAGAAATCGGGGCGGACGTGAGGTTTTTAATTTTATTTTTTATTATGCATTTATCATGTTTATGGCTGTAGGGCAGGTGTTCGCAACCCCAGAGGATAATGGAAAGGCGCAATGGAAAGTGGAACAACCAACGTTACGTAGAAAAAACGAAGAAAATCAGGCAGCTTATGATCAGTTTCACTTTTCAAGCCCATGGCAACCAAGTTATGGTTCAGTCTGTGGACTTGAGTCTTGACCTTCGAAAATCTACGGCCATGCTGATTAGAGGCTGTAGACCGCAGTACATACAGTACATTTACCAGTACTAAAAGATAAAATAATTCGGCGGAGAGGGTGAAAATTTGGGGCGGGCGCGGACGATAAACAATCAATTTTTTTTACTTGGCCTTATGGTGGTACACATGCCCTCCTCAGCAGGAAACGTGCATTGGTCACAAAGCTGGTCCGGCAATCAACCGGACTGGTTACGCAGGGCCTGACCAGGTCCTGCCATCATCATCAATTTAGGAGCCGGCGTCTGAAGCCGGCGTCGGAAGGTATTTTAGGATGGAACGGTCATCCACCTGACGTACAATTTACTCTTGGGGTTGGGGTGGCTCCTCTGAAAATTTTGGAAATTTAGAGCCCAAATCAGTGCATTTCCTAATTTTCATTGATTCCTGGGGCAAAGAGTGGTACGGCCAATACCGTAGTAACCTAGCGTGTCCGACGCCCCTGAATCATCACATCGTTTTCACTGAGCAGCAGCATGGACAGCCAGTATACAGTAACACTGACCTAGTGTTCTTACTGTTCTGCTGTCACAGTTCTACCCAGGAGGAAGTATACGCAGACTGTGCCCGAGACATAGTACACTCTGTACTGAAAGGCTACAACGGCAGTATCATCGCGTACGGACAAACCAGCACGGGCAAGACTCACACGATCGAAGGCGGCCAAGATGCCGAGAAACGTGGGATCATACCGAGATGCTGTGCTGAGATCTTCAACTGTATCCTCCGCTCACCTGCCACAATAGCAATGTTGTCTGCTTTAAACAATATAATACATGTATAATTGACATAAGTAGGTATACCCAGGTTTCAACAGTGCTCAACACCACAAGGGCGGAGCGTAACCACAAAGGTCAAAAAGAATGGTTCCACCAAATATATATATACAGTCAAACCTCGTTAGGACGAACTTCAAGGGACTGAACAAATTTGTTTGTCTTATCCGGAGTTCTTCTTATCCAGATCTGACAAAAAATCGATATACATATCAGATGGATTGTATTTAGGTGAAGGTGCATGCTGTGGTACATGGGAAGCATGTTATTCTTAGCATAAGCCAGAAACAGGAAAGTACAATGACAAAGTGCAATGAATCACGACTGTGTCGAAAGTTCGTACAACGCACTGATTGATTTGTTCAAAACACGCTTGAAAACAATTTGCACTGTACGTACAATATGACCTCGACTATTGCAAAAAAAGAAGAAGAAAAAAGGCAGCCAGCGTACGCGCACGCTCGTGGACCGAAAGTTCGTACTACATGTACATGACCACACTGACTTTGTTCAAATCACACTTGAAAATAGTTCGTCTTCGCGAAAGTTCGTTGTACAGAAGTTCGTCATAAACGAATAATTTTGACTTGAATTGATGCTTGGCCAACCATAGGATTGGCCTTAGTTCGTTCTAATAGAAAGTTCGCCTTATCAGTGTTCGTCCTAACGAGGTTTGACTGTACATACGTTGTAACGCTGCGTTTCATGCACGTAGCTAAATGCTAAGGCAATCATCACACAACTAATGCTTTCGTCGCGGGATAGCTCGTTCTTATTGTGGGGGATACGCATGGGCATGCAGAGGAGGCGTGAGTTATCAACGCAGGGCATGCATGGGAAGAGCGAGTGATAAGAATTACATGTATAATTGTATATAAAATGGTATATAAACTTCTGCCGGAACTGTATATTTGTACATGCACAGTAAACAGTGAATGGAATACAGAAACCAGGGAGTCGGTATTTTACGACTCCCTGACAGAAACATCCTTGGGTGCCATACTGCTGTGTGTAAGAAGGGAACACGCACACTAGGCTGCAATGCACTCGGTACCCGAGGCCAGCTCCGTATTTCACTGGTTCTTGCTGCATACCTAGGTGCACACATGTCACTGTATACGTACAGTGCTGCCCAATGAAATCCGATCTTGTGCGGCGTCATGTGTGCGCCCTGCACCAGTTCACATCCCAGAGTTCGCAGGCCTCGGGCCACGCAGAGCCCACCACCACGTCCTTGATTTCATTTTAGCAGCACTGTAGTTTGTAGTTGTACACACCAGGTCATTTATTTATTTTTATATTATTCCAAGCAATACATGGCTGGGGTAGCCAATGACCACTTTGCGTGGCGATTGCAGGGTTTTTATAGCCAACCATGGCTAACATGGAAAAGAGTAAGAAGTCAAAAAGAAAAGGAAAAGAAGAAAGAAGCAAATATGGACTAAAATTGTGGTCTACTGGTAAAGCAAGGCGTTCTTGAATGCTGTTAAAGTAGAAAGGCCCTTTGTCTCCTGGTGCAGCTTAAGCCAATGCAAATAGCCATTGAAAAGGGGGGAGTGTAGCAATGCAGAAGAGCGGGCTAGAGGAAGGGAGAGTTGGTTCCTAGTGGAGTTATCCCGTCGGAACCAGTCAAATGGTTTTCAAAGATCCGGGGGTATTTTGGAAAGTCGAATACGATGGATAAGACAGCACATCGTCATGCATGGGAATGGGTTACCAATTTCCCATTCCTCTTTTTTGGGTAACACGTGAACAGAACCCAATGTGTGCCCATCTTCATACTATGTATATGTATTTGCCATTCTTGTCATTATATTCTCTTGGCATGCTGCATTTACGTGGTAACAAAAGTTAATCATTCTTGCAACAAAGAATGGGCAGAAACCTGACTTCAAACCTTCTTTCGAGCCAGGATATCATTTTTTTGTGGGGGGGGGGGGGGGGATTCGGACATCAATGGGAACCAAACCTTCGAACCTTCATTGCCAGCCTATGTTCTACATTGTGCATGTAAACCCGCGCTATGCTCTTCAATGTATTTCCTTGACACATTTGCCCCGTTTAGACATTCAAAACCAAGCGTCGCATTCATCAAAGTTTCTCGTCCGAACATCATTCTTGGAGATCTATAATGAACATGTGATGGACTTACTGGTAAGCAATCAGCAGGATCATCACGCATGTGAAGACTAGTCTTTGTGTGTGAAGAACTCAATACACACACACACACACACACACACACACACACACACACACACCTCAGACCTCAGACATGCCCATCGCGGAAGCGATGATAGCGAACAGCTATGTTAGACATAGCAACTTGTGCTGGGATTACACCATTCAACAGCTTGCAAGGCTGATAAATTGACCGCCACTATTTTTAGCCTGGTATCCACCACACAGCTGTTTGAAGTGACTTTTTCTGGCCAGTGAATCCCTATTTTTCATTTTTCCATTTTTTTCCTACACACACACACCACACCACATACTCCGGCATACACTGGCTGTTGGTAACCACCCAGGAGAATGAAAGAAAAGTCAGGAAGAGTCTGAGAAAGAGAAGAAAGACGTGTGTGACCATAATCGTCGGGAATCGAACCCGCAACCTATCGATTGGAAATCGCTGCACATACCACTGCACCATATGGGACACACACACACACACACACACACACACACACCTCAGACCTCAGACCTCAGACATGTCCATTGCGGAAGCGATGATAGCGAACAGCTATGTTAGACATAGCAACTTGTGCTGGGATTACACCATTCAACAGCATGCAAGGCTGATGAATTGACCGCCACTATTTTTAGCCTGGTATCCACCACACAGCTGTTTGAAGTGACTTTTTCTGGCCAGTGAATCCCTATTTTTCATTTTTCCATTTTTTTCTACACACACACACCACATACTCCGGCATACACTGGCTGTTGGTAACCACCCAGGAGAATGAAAGAAAAGTCAGGAAGAGTCCGAGAAAGAGAAGAAAGACGTGTGCGACCATAATCGTCGGGAATTGAACCCGCAACCTCTCGATTGGAAATCGACTGCACATACCACTGCACCATATGGGGGGGGGGGGGGCACACACACACACACACACACACACACACCTTGAACCTTGAACCTTGAACCTTGAATGTGCCCATTGCCGATGGCAATGATAGCGAAGGGACTATCTGCTAACTTTGCAGCACGGAGCGTTGCGCTTGAGATTCCCGGGACGACGGCAGACCTTTCCACATCATGTGACATGCGCAGCGGAAGCCAGAGTCAGGATTAGGGGGAGCGCGGGCACACACATACACACACACACACACACACACACAGGCATAACAATAGAAACAAAACTGGTAGTAGAAGTGACAGCAGAGAATGATGGTCATACTACAGGTGTTACATGTGCCAGTGAGGTTCGTTACAGGTGTTACATGTGCCAGTGAGCGGGTTCGTTTGGCAAACTGGCAACTGCTCAACACTGCACTGCACAGCTGCAGAACTTTTTTCCTCATGCCTTACACAGTAACGTTAATACATGATGAAGGTCATGTTAGTGTATATACAACGTACCTCGCACAGGTTATCTATCTGATGGCCACTCAATATGCGTGAACGTGACTAACCTTTAGCGATATGGCTACCCCCCCCCCCCCCTCTCTTGTGTGCGTGTGTGCTTATATGTGTGTGTGTGTGGGGGGGGGGGGGAGCGCACATGTTTGTTTGTGTGTTCGTATGTGTATGTATGTGTATGTGCACAACTGCACATGCATAATTATTATCCATGTTGATGCAGGAGCCTGCACGTAGCAATCTCAAAGTCCGTGAGACACCGTCTCGAGGCATGTACGTGGAGGGACTCTCGGAGAAAGTTGTTCGATCTCCGTCCGACGTCCTACTTCAGCTGCAGAAAGGCTCCAATGTGAGAACGACACACAGCACACGGATGAACAAGGTAAGCAGTGAAAGATGCATGGTGGGCATGACCTGCAGGCATCCAGCACATTGGGCCAACATCATGATATTATTATTATTAGTGTTGAATACGAAGCAGCAGCAGTGACAATTGAGAAGGTAGTGGAGTATAGTGATACATTTAGCAGAGATGTTCCTTTCCACGCTGTGCCTGGCTCTGCTTCTAGCACATGCGTTTCATGGACGGGTCGATTTCATGCATCCTATCATCACATGAACAAGGTCTGCCATGAACATCGCTTTTGTGATAAAAGTGTGCATGCAAGTGATAAAAGTGTGCATGCAAGACTTGCAAGTGATAACCCATCACTTTTGTAGTATATGTGTTCGTGAGTGTGCTAACCCACATGCCATTCATTCTTGTTGCGCCGCACTCTAAAGTCTTAACAGTGTTCATTTGCTGCTGCGACGGTGTCATATAAAATGAGAAATCATGAAATTGGATGTCGCACAATCAAGTTCCTGACCATGTCCTGAGCTTGAGAGTAGCTACTAGGCAATATCAAAGGATCTTTTTGCAATACATTGTCTAACTCTTTGTGGGCATCCCCTCGTTGCTGTGCAGGTGAGCAGTCGCAGCCATGCAGTCTTCACTATGATAGTAGAGCAAGCAAAGTCACTTGGAGCCGGCAAGGGGAATGACGTAACTATCGGGAAACTGCGCCTTGTGGACCTGGCTGGATCAGAGAGGTGAGTGTAGCCACATCTGTAGCCTTACCTGCTTATGTTCCAATACATCACTGGCCATGATGAGCTTCTATCATTACCTGAAAGGTACTTTCACTTTTTTTTTTAATTTCCTTGGAGACTTGGAGTTACAATGCTTGTTTTCAGTCAATATGCAGTGTTGCACAAAGAGGGTCCATTGAAAGCTCCAATTCTTTGTGTACTTTTAGGCATTTCTGAACAGTGGTGCATCTCATCATGTGCTAATGTCATTTCTTGTTTCTAGATTTGAATCCGATGCCAAAGGCAGGCACATTGAGGAAACGAAGAATATCAACACATCGCTGTACACGTTTGGTAAAGTTATCCTGGAATTGACCACACCGTCGTCCAAGTACATTCCTTACCGTGACTCCAAGCTAACACGGATTCTTCAGGACAGGTGAGGCGGCTAACAGCTGGGTTGGAACTTGGAATCGTTTGTCTACCATTGGTGTGTGCTTCATAGGGGCAAGGGACGTGAGGGCATGTTTCGGGTGAAATTGCTAGAGTAGTGTGAGCTCTTCTTGTCCAACCTGCGGCATCATGCATGCAAACTCATTGTGATAAGCCCATCGCGCAATGCAAAATATGGAAGGTATGAGTAATGCATGTGAGTACACTGGGATCAGGAATGCACTGTTCAACACCCCCAGAGTCAACCATACCCAGGTGGCTGTGTGGGACTGTGGGGTGTTTCTGGCACAAATTACGCCATTGCGCTATGGGCGTATTGGCTTTGTCGTGTGGGTGTGTGTGTGACTGTTCATCACAGCTTGGGTGGCAACTGCAAGACGACCATGATCAGCACGATCAGCCCAATGACAACCAGCTACTCGGAGTCACTCAACACACTCAAGTTTGCACAAAGGTACTGGCAAATGTATGGGGTCTATAGTTCGTACTGTAACGTTAAGAGCGGCCTTAACTTTAAAAAACAATAACAAGAGGACCAAAAAAGTGTTTTACTCCGAGTTTCACGCACTAAGCGATCAGCAGAAAACAGTGATCATGGCATATACAGTCAGACCTCGCTTATCTGGATCCCTCACCATCCAGAAGAGAATCACTGGTTACCAATTTACACTGCGGCATACGTTACGCACGCAACATAACCGGACCTCGCGATCCGCATACCGGTCCATGGTTTTGTGTACAACCTGGTTCAAATGTGCACGCAAAGCTTTGTCGTATCCGGTTGCTGGTGGTGGCTTTTCAGAAGCTAGAATCAAGGAGTCGTACAAACAAATGGGGTCGGTCCGGCTCCTTGACCTACACACCGGTGTTTGTTTACAATCATGGCAGTTTACCAGGCTGTATTGTCAGTTGTACTACTTCAATGAACTGCGCTCTTCTTGTACCATACTGTGTCACTTGCTATATGCTAGAGCAAAGCTTGTGAAGAACATGGCCAGCGTCAACAAGGACACCGCTCACCAGGCCATGATCTCAAACTATGAAAAGGAGATACAGCGGCTACGCCAGGAGCTGGACAGCACGAAATCGTGAGTCATGACCCGGGCTGTGTTCAGACTTGAACAGCCCAGCAATGTGCTTTCACTGCCTGGCCATTGATGTTGGGATGTTTGAGTGTTGGAACGTGCACTCAGATGATGAGTATCTAGTAATAGTATCCCTTTCCTCAAGTTGGGATTTCTACTGCACAAAGTAGAAAGCACTGAATCAGTTCATCGGACTCTGCTAAATCTTAGAGTTTATAATACTATGAGTTAGAAGGTCTTGCCCGGTATCCTGGCAGCTCTGACTGGTTTTGTCTTGAATTTCGTCTGTTTTGTCTTACTCTTGTTCATACCACAGTACGAACATGGTTGACCGAGGTGAAGTCCTGCAGCTTGAGAAAGAGCACCAGCAGGCCCAAGAAGAGAAGGTGGGACATTAAAGATGTGCATGGCCCTTGGTTTTGCGAACTCGAGTGGAAATGAGTTTTACGGTAGTGTGTGTATGTGTGTGTGCATGTGTGTATCAAAAATAGGGAATCACTGGCCATTAAGTTCGCTTCAATCAGTGCCGGTTGCAATGCCAGTCTTAAATAGCAGTGGGTCATCATCGCAAGCTGTGTGTGTGTGTGTGTGTGTGTGTGTGTGTGTGTGTGTGTGTGTGTGTGTGTGTGTGTGCGTGTGTGTGTGAGTGTGAGTGTGTGTGTGAGTATGTGTGTGAGTGTGTGTGTATTTCTGGGAACGGCGTGGCCCGATAGGGTAGCTGTACATAGTAGTAGTAGTAGTAGTAGTAGTAGTAGTAGTAGTAGTAGTAGTAGTAGTAGTAGTAGTAGTAGTAGTAGTAGTAGTAGTAGTGTGTCACTGTGTGTATGTGTGTATGTATGTGTCTCTTTCTGGTTTGAGCCGTCATCACTGTGACCGTGCGAAACGGATGTCACGTGCAGCCAGGAACAACTGCCGTCATGAATGCGAGCATTGCGAAAGACGGTTCTCAAGGCCACAGGACTTGCAACGCCATGCCAAATATTGTTAACTTTGCGATTTCTCTCTCTTCTCTTCTCTCTTCTTGTCGTTGTCTCCCGCTTCTGGGAGCGGCGTGGCCCGATAGGGTAGCTGTACATAATAGTAGTAGTAGTAGTAGTAGTAGTAGTAGTAGTAGTAGTAGTAGTAGTAGTAGTAGTAGTAGTAGTAGTAGTAGTAGTAGTAGTAGTAGTAGTAGTAGTAGTAGTAGTAGTAGTAGTAGTAGTAGTAGTAGTAGTAGTAGTAGTAGTAGTAGTAGTAGTGCCCTGCGCATCTTCTGGCCCGTCTCGACGCCGCCATTACGGACAAGCTGCTGCCAGCGCTCAGCGGCCATTCGTGTTCGGACGAGTCGGCACTGAGAAAGTTGCTATCGCTACCAGCGCGGTTTGGTGGCATGGCAATCCCTGTGCCCTCGGTGGAGGCCGAGAAAGAGTTTTCTGCATCCAGACAGATTGTGGCTCCTGTGGCGGCCTGCATAAGACCACCAGAACATCCAACAAGCACCAACGAAACTACTCAAACAGACCAGCTGAACGAGGCAATAGCCCTCAGCCGGCAGGAGGCCGGGCGTATTCGCAGAGAGAAAGCTGCCCAAGCCACGGGTCTCGTTAGCGAATTGCGCCCGGATTTGACAGCAACACAGGCGCTGTTGGTGGAGAATGCCGCGGAAAAGGGCGTATCATCTTGGGTAACGGCGGAACCATCGTCCCAAATGCAGATGGTGCTGAACAAATCGGATTTCCGAGATGCGTTCTGCATCCGCTACGGCCTGCAGCCTGACGGACTCCCCCTGACTTGTGTATGTGGTGCTGCAAACACAATAGACCATGCGATGATGTGTCCGGCAGGGGGCTACCCCATGGCACGCCACAATGAGATCCGGGACTTGTTGGCTGACGTGATGCGTGAGGCGGTCCGGGATGTGGAGGTAGAACCGCCTCTACTACCATATGATGGTGAGCGGCTCCAAGGGAGGACAGCCAACCGCTCGGCAGGTGCCCGCCTGGACATCCGGGCTTGTGGCTTCTGGACGAGACAGCAAGATGCCTTTTTCGACATCCGGGTTACACACCCAAAGGCAAGCTTGCTGTCGCGTCAGGAAGTCATCAGCCAGCTCCGAACGCATGAACGGATGAAGAAGCGCCAGTACGGAGAGCGGGTGACAGCAGTTGACAGAGGTACGTTTACACCGCTAGTTTTTTCTACCTCGGGCATGATTGGCAGAGAATGTTCAATGGCACTGAAGACACTGGCATGCCTGATTGCTGAGAAGAACGTCGACCTACACGTATCGGTTATCATGGGTCAGCTCCGTTGTAAGCTGTCAGTCTGCCTTATGCGATGGGCAGTCACCTGTTTGCGTGGTTCAAGATCGTCATACCGCCGCAACAGGATGAATTTCACGACGATGTGCAGGTTGCGGGCAGCCTGAGCGTGATAGTACCTGACAGACATTTGCCCAACATTGCCCCATGATAATGAATTCTTGAGTTTTTGGACATTGTATTGCATTGCTGCTCCATCTAAATGGCTGTATTTGTGTTTCACATCTCCATTTCAAGTTTCCTAATAAAGATTGTGTCAAGTAGTAGTAGTAGTAGTAGTAGTAGTAGTAGTAGTATGTATGTGTGTGCGTATATGTGTGTATGTGTGTGTATGTGTGTGTGTGTGTGTGTGTGTGTGTGTGTGTGTGTGTTTGCACCTGCATGTATGTGCACGGCTCCTGTTTTAGGATGCGGCTGTGCGTCGACTTAAGCAGCAACAGAAGGAGATCAACCAGGCTGAGTCCGACAAACGTGCATACTTGCAGAAGATCTCAGACCTGGAACAACAGGTACTAAATGTAGTACTACAACGTTTACAATCCTACTGAATCTTTCTTTTGGAATGCTAGCCCAAACTGTAGGAAACCTTGCTGAAGTCTCTATCTTTTCAGTCAGACTTTGTGCGCGTGCACGATGTTGTGCCAAGACTTTGAAGTCCACACAATAGTTTATCAGCTGTGCTATGACTTACATGCACAAGCAAGGAGACATCTGCTAAATGCTCGTGCTTTCTGCAACTGTCAAACATCATGTGTGCAGACCTTTTCATCCGATCCGATTGCATGTTGTGAACCCCTAAACCAGGATTTCTGAATTTCGATGGAAAGGACATTTAAGTTAAGTGCTATCATGCTCAGCTTACATGTGCACTTTAGCCTGACACTGTAGGCGTGCTTTGCATCCTGGGCCGTCGCTTTTCATTGCAGGTTCTTCAAGGTGGAACCAGCATAGAGGAAACACCAGAGTTTCAAGAAGCAGTGCGAAAGGTGAGCTGCGGCACAGTGCCAAAACCATGACCAGAAAAGAGCCTCGGAGAAACATAGTGAAAACACTTCTTCTTCAAGTATTTCATTTATCATTGTGCAGTTGTACTGGACTTACTCCCTCCTCCAGCCAAAGGCAGTGAAGTGGAAAGCAAGAAGAGGATGAGAACTGTACAAAATAGTGGTGGCGATGTGAACTGACCAGAAATCAATTAGTCCCATATGCAGTTTTCATAACTACATAGTGGCAGATCAGACCGCACCAATGATTAGATATATAATCACTAGTAGCCACTTTCCAATCTCCCATAGCCGCTGTGTGTGTGTGTGCTTACTTGAAGCTCCGTCCTCTTGGGTGTTGACACCACTCTTTGGGGTAGATGAACCCCCTCTATCACTGCCGAATTATGGTCTGAATAAGTCCCTTACTTCACTCTTCCCTGAATACCTTGTACTTTATACTCTGGTGTTCCGAATCAAATGACAGGAGCACCAGAGGCTGCAAGTGGAGGCCCGGGAGAAGATGATGAAACTGGACCTGGAACGACGGAGGTAATGTGCAGGAGTCTGAGCTGCTTATGATATCATGACTGATGGAGTTTTTCACACCGTACATCCATCTATGGTGCAGCAGTGACACGACCCATGCAAAAGAATCGCCTCAGTCTCTGCATTCCAATGAGGAGATTCGGTGTCCAAACAGTAGTTTGATGTGCCAGATGGCCACCTTGGGTGGAGCAATGTTGTCACGTGACTAGTGGAGGAGTAGCTCACTGTACAGCAGTGATCCTAGCCCAGTGTGATTCCAGGCTAGTTCCCGCACTCGCACAGCATCACTGCGGGAAACTACTGACTGACCCTCATCTCAGTACTGCATGTACTGCATGTACAAGTATGCTTGTTTCTCTGTATCGCCGCCGGGTCACCTTGTGTTCACTGTGTGCGGCTATTGTTTAGGCTGGAGAAGGAGAAGGAAGAGTTTGAGCAGCAAAAGAAACTGTTGGCAACCCAGAACGTCAGGTCTGCACCAGATGGCGGCAGGGTAAGCATCACGGTGTGGTTAATGCACACCCTGCAGGCCCAGAGCCAGCTCCTCAGGGGCGGCTACGATCCCAAGTCGGCTGCAGGACCGATTATTTCCCCATGTCCAATTTCTAAATCCAGGGAGGATACATCTCTGTTTCTCTAGCTCTATGCATCATATCTGTTCATTTCAGCTGCACATTCCTCCATCAGCAGAAATGCAGCTAGCGCAGTAGACCTCACTGGACAAGAAGAACAGTTTAGGAGAGAGAGACTCGAGCGAGTAGTGCAGGAGGATAGCGGCTTATCACTAGTACTTGCAGATATCAATTGCACACTGAGCAGCCCATGGACGCTGAAATTGGTAAACAACTGGTATGGCTATGGCCGCCCCAGCCGTACCAGTGGTGCCAGCCCTGTACGGTAGCATCATGTATTTAGTCACCACCAGTATCTGCCTTAGAAATTTGACCAAAAGATGATGAACTTGATTTTGTGGCCTCTATTTCAATGTCAACTCTTTAGAAATCTCTCTATATGTAGATGTACTTGAGTGTCTTTGTTGTCTGCTGTATTCAGGAGTGCGTAAGCTCTGCGGTATTTTATGCGATTTTCCCATGCAGTCGGATGAGGAAGACACAATGGAGTCTGCCAGTGGACGCTGGCACTCAAAGTCCCGTTTTGCAAAGCCGTCCATGCTTCGCAGCCCATCACCAGAGAGTGTGCACAGTCAGTACTAGTCATGTTGCTGCCGCATGCTATCTGTGTTCTGCTTTGGGAGTGCCATAATAATACCATCGCCGAGATGCGACCATGCATGCTGGTTTTCTTATGCTACAGCTAGATGAACTGACTAAGTCAGAATACCACTGGGCCATCGGACGAGTGGCCTTTAAAAGTCTTGACACAAGTGGCATTTCATTCCACAGTTTTGTTCGTTTGGTTTTTGTCCGGCAACTTGGGATATTTGGGCCAGAGTCACAGACTAAGCATAGTCTCATTCAATGCATTGTGATTTTTTCTCTCTCATCCCCCCACAGTGTATCCAGCAGGTGGGCGCATGGTAGTTGGTGCTTCAACTACATCATCATCCAGTCTCCGTTCAACTGGTGAGCTGGCGCTCCTTGAATCGCATTACCGTAATCTATAATTGGTCCCCGGCATACACTGTCAGTTTCTTGAGCCTTCAAATGTGCATGGAGCTCAGGTCTTCCTCGGACTCTGTGTTTATACACTCGAAAGTTGCAAATCCTGCACCTACATATAGGGATGTGCACCAGCTTGGAGAAAGATGAATTCCTGTGCGAAGCTGCCCCAGCTTTGACTAGTCCTCTTGGGATAGATGAAAAGGAAATTGTGTTACTTGATAGCCCTCTTGGCCTGGCAAAATCTGGTGAGATGGGAGTTACAATCAGCAGTGTGGAGAATTGCCTCCTTATCCAAATATCACACGACACTGTCTGAATCCTTTCATCTCAGTCTCACATCCGCATCACAGAGTTTTTATAGTTTCCATAATCTGTCGTGGGGTCCTTTAGCTAGTACCATTGACGTTCCCGCTGCACCCCAATGACTAAATTATGCGTACACATTGTCCTGCATGTTTTCCCAATGTGTTGCTCTATCCCTAGTGAGTGATATGCTAGATGGTGGCCCGTCAATGGACAGCCTTCGCTATGACAGGTGCAGTATGAATAGTGCTCTGAAGTGTTGTAGTCTGTTATCTTGTGTTCTACTGTACTGGAAATAGTACAGGCTATGGGTATCTGAGCCTTGTTTTATTCAAAGCCCCACATTAAGTGAATAATAGCAAGAAAGTACGAGAGATGAGCTAGAGAGAAAAGGGAAACCAAGGAGGAGTCCAGGTTGAAAAGGAAAGATAAGAACATTGAAAGGATCGGTCACGCAACACGGTGCAGGCCATGGATATGCCATACCAGCTATTGGGCTGCTGGGGACCACAGCATACTGGAACTGATTCGGGTGAAGTGGTGAAACCATTGCTGTGTTCTAACACAATGCATGTCCATTGTAAGTGTGGAACATACTGGAACATACTGGAGCATACTGGAACATACTGGAACATACTGTAACATAGCTGCAGTCAGTCCCATAGTACATCATACTGGAATGCCACGGTCTGAGGCCATCCAGGGTCATGTGCTGCTGCTGCTGCTGCTACTAACCCTGATATGACTGTGTACAATCATGGACATACTAGTACTGTAAGTCCAATCCAACTGATCATCCGCCCATCAATGCCAACAAGTGACTGAACTAACCTGTCACGGTATAACTGAAGTGTATGAGTATAGTGTGGTGACACAGCCCATTGTCCATTGTCTGAGTGAAAAAAGCAGGAGATGGTCGGGGTTGTACCTACTTCTGCAGATATAACACATCTGCACACTTTTTAAAAGCAGTGCATGATGCTTTGCATGTACAACGTAGCTATGTGGACCATTACAGCCATACACCATTACAGCCATACACCATTACAGCCATACACCATTACAGCCATACACCATTACAGCCATACACCATTACAGCCATACACCATTACAGCCATACACCATTACAGCCATACACCATTACAGCCATACACCATTACAGCCATACACCATTACAGCCATACACCATTACAGCCATACACCATTACAGCCATACACCATTACAGCCATACACCATTACAGCCATACACCATTACAGCCATACACCATTACAGCCATACACCATTACAGCCATACACCATTACAGCCATACACCATTACAGCCATACACCATTACAGCCATACACCATTACAGCCATACACCATTACAGCCATACACCATTACAGCCATACACCATTACAGCCATACACCATTACAGCCATACACCATTACAGCCATACACCATTACAGCCATACACCATTACAGCCATACACCGGGGAAATGATAGGAACTGATGCATGTTTTAAAAGTTACCTAGTCTTGCAATCGGTGTCAGTAACTTTCATCAATTTCTGCATAGGTTCATAGGTGCATAGGTGCATAGGTTCATCCAACCAAGGTCGGACTGTGACACTGCATGTGGATTGCTATAATAGCAAGTATTCCAAAGGAAATGTGCTCTGGATGGCAGTCGTGAGCCAGTCAAGTGTCAAGTTTGGCAAGAAGCATGCATTCCTCGTTGGAACAACCAACTTCATGAAATGTGACAATGCAGGGCCGGCGCCACTGGTACGGCCGGTACGGCCATGGCCGTAGCAACTTCCCAAAAAGTCGGTCCATGTGGAACGTGCAAAACCGGGGAGAAAAAGTTTCGATGTATGATTTTGTACAGGGAGTCGCCCAGAGTGTAGGATTTGCCGTCTAAATTCCACAAATTTTCTGGGGGGAACCCCAGACCCCCCTTAAAGATGGCCCTTCGGCCGCACCGCTCTGCAGAAGCTGCCTCCGGCCCTGCAATGGTGATATAACTGAGGTAACAATGTTCAGTGTGTGGCTGTTTGGTTCCACTGCAGATCTCAGGGTGCATCTCTCAACTACACCACTCCACTGCAAGCTGATCAGCAATACCGGCACCAGAGCCGAATGGTCATGGGCAGTCCAGGTGAGCTTCCTGTGACTTGCTTGCAGCTGTTTATCACTACCCACCTGACTACTGTCTCTTTCTCTCTCTCTCTCTCTCTCATGTCCGTTCTAGAGATATCCAATTGGTTGTCGTCGACTGGAGGTGACCCTAATTCTCAGGTGAGGGAGGCACCATGGCATGAACAACATGCTGATGATGATGATTAAATGTATCCACTAGGAGACTTTCACGTCAGAAGCCGAATACAGTTCTACTTTAAGAAGTAGAACTGCATTTGGCCTCTAGCCATCACCAACATTTACTTGAATGTGGATAATCTTCACTTAACAGTGTGACCGACTAGGTGACCTGCTATTGGTGAAAGGGAGGTGGGCACTGATAATAGTTTATTTTAGATGATCATAGTGCATGCATGCATGTGTGTGTGTGAATCCTTACATGGTGTGCAGGTTCAGTGGACTGCGGAGCTGCTTGAGTATGCACATGCACTGAGCCACCCAGCCACCGGTATACCAACACAGGTAAATTGAAAGAATTATCACCTAGACATTCACCTAAAGGCATTCATGGTCTGTTGTGCAAGAGTGGGATTGCTCAATACTTGAAATCCACTGCACTAGAAACATGCGGCTAGAGAATTGGTCTTTTCAACATAAGCCGGTTGCAGGTTTGACTCCCCGCTTGAGCAAAGGTTCTTTCCAACCCCAGGAAACCCAATTAGGATTGTGCACCTGCTATTGGTCGGGGTTGGGGGATTGGGGGGGGGGGGGAGGCAAAGCAGCAACGAGGAAGAGGGATGAACACTGCTGGCCCGACCATACTGGGATTATCAAACAAGAGATCTCCAGCACCTGCTGTCCCATTGCCCGGTATTGGCTACCTCTCCACCACTACATCACGTACTAGACAGGGGTATTGGAAGGTATGTTAAGGGGGTGCAGTCCGCGATCTGGAGTAGAATTTACTCGTGCGAGAGAGAGGGGGGGGGGCTCCACTGAAAGTTTTTGAAATTTAGATTCTAAATAGATGCATATTATTGATTGATTCGTGAGGCATATGTGACAAAGAGTGGTGCAGTCAATACCATTGTGCATGAAGCGTGTCCGACACCCTGCCACGGTATGATGTAGAGTGCTATCATCCACTGCCTTAGCGTTACTGTATCTACCAGTGCACCACTTGTACTTGTGAGAAGAACTTTCAGTTATCGCAACTTGATTTACCCGTGTGTCGATGGTTGCCTTTGCAGAATCACCCGCTTGGAGTACGCGTCTTTTCCAGTAAGTTTGATCGGTTTGAGGAGTTGATGTTCAAGCCTATGTCTCTTCCACCATTGCATTGATAGACTTGCTGTAACATTCCAAGCCTGAATGGCTGCTCTGTATCATGCTAGTATATAACCTCATCATCAATATTCCACATACGTGTAGCTTACTGCTTGTTTGAACACCGTCTGCTGTGCTGTGCGGTCCGATCAGGTGAGAATGCGACTCGCTGGTTTCTGACCAACATGGAGGGAATTCTAAACCTACCAGCTGCGCAGGTTAGCAGCCCTGAATAGCTATGTTCATGAAGCATGGGATTGTACCGAGACACAATAACCGGAATACGTTATGCAACACAATTCATGCTCACATTTCTTTTGAATCATAGTACAGCGATACACCAGTGCAATAGGTAGAAAGTATTCACGAAGGTGGACTCACCCTTCTTAACTCTAGTTTCGAGCTTGGAATCAACTCATGTGATGGTTGTACTTGCTGCAGTGCATGGCCGTAATACTAACTCACATGCCTCGCTGATTGGCAATGGCGGATGGAACTTAGCTGCTTGCTTTACCGGCATGCCTGAATGATTCTTCTTAAGACTGCAGTTCTGATTACAGAATCATACCAAGCACATGCTTTTCCACTGCCCTCTCTCTCTTGCTATGCTTTCATACTGCTCCAGAGCGTTGGCCAGAGGCTCATCAGCCTTGGGATCATTCACAGCATTTCAGGTGCGGATATCTAGAATTCAACTCAGTATCACTGTTTGTGTGTATGTGTGTGTGTGTGTGTGTGTGTGTGTGTGTGTGTGTGTGTGTGTGTGTGTGTGTGTGTGTGTGTGTGTGTGTGTGTGTGTGTGTGTGAGAGAGAGAGAGAGAGAGAGAGAGAGAGAGAGAGATAGAGAGAGAGAGAGAGAGAGAGAGAGAGAGAGAGAGAGAGAGAGAGAGAGAGAGAGAGAGAGAGAGAGAGAGAGAGAGAGAGAGGGAGGGAGAGAGAGAAAATCAAAGAGTTGTCCGTTATTATGCATGATGTGTATCGGTGGATCTGGGTGGACCAGATCCAGTTTCGGAGTAAGCCGCGGGCTGACAATGTCCCTAGCGGCCATAGTACTGCAACAAGCGGGTATTACAACCATGTGCTCTACCGTTCTGATTCATTCTGCAGCCACGCCCGAGTTTACAGTGTCCGCGAGTGAGTTGTACTACTTTGCTGAGCAAGCTGAACATCCACAAGTGCGAAGGCGGAGGTGAGGTTTTTTTATAATTCTGAGCAACCATTTCCCGGTTGTCTGTTGTGACATACCCCAACAAACTATATATTTCCAGGGCGCTTTATAACAGCAGGTTAAACAGTGCCTGATGATCTCGCAACGTCTTCCTCTCCGTTATATACGCAAGTACAGGCCGTACCTTTGGCCTCAAACAACTGATTGGGTTGCACTGATTACACTAATTAGCTAGTCTGGTCACTCTGACTGTATAGACGGTGATCTTCAGAACTATATGCTGTAAAGAATAGACTTTTCTTTCCTTCTATTTTTTAGTCACTGAGGGAACACCAAGCTGCATATCGGTAGGCCTGTGTCAATGGATGGGCAGGTTGCTCCTCTTTCCACAGTCTTTGCTGGCTGCTGACTTCTGAAATAGGCTTACCTGCTTCTACTTCACTCTATTCACAATAACGTTACATGTATGTCATACATGCGTGTGTGAAGTGTGGAGCCACATTTCCAATTCAGTCTGGGTGTGTTCTTTAGTGGTGAACAGCACTATGTACTTCACCGGCCTTCTTCTGCCTGTGTGTACTTGTACAACAGCACAGTTCCCTATTTTTGTTCTGCATGCAGGGGCACTCTTCAGCCTTCCCGGGGCATGCCTCAGTGAGTACAGAAAACTCTCTCGATCCTCAGTACTGTATTCTTGCAGGGACATGCTGATTACACAGATTTATGTTGCAAGCGACCCGTATTTTCGGCTGGGCTGTTCATCAGACCAAAGGAGCTGGGAAGAATTTTCCTGAGTGCGACCAGACGCCGGTGCTAGAGTCTCGGTCTCGCAACCATCTGAACCGTATGTGGTCAAGCCCTGGTTCGGACTATCCTCCAGTTTGTCATTAACTATCAAACAATGCTTGCACCGTACCTGTAACGTGTAGCCAATAAGTGCAAGCCAACCTGCTGTACACAGCTGCATAATTAGTTGACCAGTCGGCACTGCTGGAGTGGATGTATGGAAACTCTGTCTCAGACAAATAGCCAGGCTCCTTCTCTGTGTATGTTGTATGGATGCAGGCGCCCAATACCACTGGACACATCTGCCTCTAATCTCAGCTTGATCTCAACTACCAGTAGCAGGTAAGGAATCATGTAACAACCTTTTTCCGCATGGCAGCACCATGCAGCATGGCCTATTCCTCTCAGATGGTGTAACCCTGAAGTAGTGGTACGATACAACAGTCACTTGTACCGGACATTTGCATGTTGGTACCTCCTATAGTTAGCAGCACAAATTGGCCTTGCAACGTTTGGGAACAGAAGGTAGAGATGATACATATACCAAGTGTTTCAAGTTCCAGATGCCTTGCTTGTGTACAGTATATCATGCCTTGCTTGTGTACAGTACATGCACAAAGTGCTGCCGTGGTTTCCAGGCATAGTTTGAATGAACTCTGCGTGTTCCCGTTCCTCATTTTTGTTTCTCCAGAAGGTCATTTGATCGCCAGCCATCTGCATCCAGCCGGCGGAGTGCACACAGGTACAGTTTCATTAAATTTGATATGCATGGGTGATAGCTTCAAGAAGAAGTTTATATGTATTGCCGTTGATGATGGACGTGGCAAGCCCGGCATGCCATGTCACGAAAGCAATCGAACATCCTACCAATATTTCCATCCAGACCCAGTCCCTCCATGCACACTATCCTAAGTAGCTTACATCCTGGCATGTGTACATGGGTTCATGCAGCTCTTTTAAAATGAAGGTTTAAAAGTGGATTCCATACATGCACATGAGTAGAGAGAAATGGATCTGCCGTATTGAGTGTTTTAGAAGAAACTAGAGCAAATCGGGGTGTTGAGGGGATGTCTCAAATTGCTCCAGGGTGCCACTAAAGCATACACTATGGCGTGAAAGAACACATGATTTGATAATGTGCTTGAGAAGAATGGTTACAGTATATGCCTGTGTCAAATTGAACTCATGCCACTTCACATGTGTGACTTTCTAAAACAGCTTTGCTGAAACGATAGCATCGTCCGGCAGCAATGACTCCAATGCAAGTCTGGAGCTGGTCTTTGAGGAGCTAAGGTGGTCTGACTATGGCCGATCTCCTATTCACACGGCAGCAGCTCTGGGTAAGGAATGTCTGAGACCATGGTGATGCTCAGGGTTGTATTGCCAGTATTCTCTTGAACTGTTCTGTGTTCCTTCCTGCTACCCAGAATTGAAATATTGCTGCTAAGTACAGTAGATCAGAGCAGGAACGAGTACAATAGTAGGTGTAAACGTTGACTGAAAAATAATACACTTGTTGGTCATCAAGCAGCCAGTCATAAGGAATAGCTAGAATGAATGATGTGAGAAATAGCAGGGCCGAAGTGATTTGATAACAAGTAGGGTAAGGTGTGAAGGAAGTGTGAAAAGGAAATGTATCACTCTTACAGTAGGTCCAGACTGGACCGTGTCACGGTATGCCTGCGTGTTCATCTCTGCACAGCAATGATGTATGTGATGTGACTGGTCTCTGAATGCATACATGTACAGGTGATCGACCTGCCCTCACCAGACACATCAAAGAGCTATCAGCAAACAGTTTAGACTCAAGCAACCGAACACCGTTGATGTATGCTGCTGCTTCCAACCAAGTTAAGGTACTTTGACTACAACTACCCATCATAATAATTATGAGGGTCTATTCTGCCCCTGTATGTGTGTGTAGGGGGGGGGGGGGTTCTGTATCATGCCCATGTCTTCGGCGATTGGTCTGATTAAAGTTGATTAGTCATCATGGGTTATGCCTTTAGAGCACATGATCTGGATGGGATCAAGCCGACTACGTGCGTGGACGTTTGTTCTTACCTTATTGGATGTGTTGCATTGTGCTTTGAACAGATCAGTCAGCTATTACTGCATGCTCGAGCAGACCAGACCCTTGCAGCTGATGACAAGATGACACCGTTGCTTGTTGCAGCAAAGTTTGGCCACGACTCTGTTCTGAAATACCTGCTAAAGTGAGTTGTTCCCAGTAACCGTTTACAGTATACGCAGCATGCATCTCTTGACGCATGGCAAGAACTTGCTGTGCATCACCGGGGGGGGGGGGGGGGGGCTTAAACAGCACTGAATGGTGATGTCAACAGTGGCCCGGGTACAGTCTTTTTTTCTTTTTCAAAGGGGCATGAGGTGTTAGATGCCTCTTGTTTCAATAAGCTCGACACAGAGAGGGCGATGCTCACCTTCCCTTCCCGGTCCATCAACTGTGTGCCCTCCCCTGCCGAAGTCAAGTACCCAATCCCAGCTGAGTCTCCTGGGGGTGGAAGTTTATGTCTTGTCAAACTTGGAATCAAACCTGCAACCTCTTTATTTGGAAGGCCGGCGCTCTAATCATTCTTACAACCACGTACAACGACACATAAGTTATAACGTTTTACTTTGCCTGCTTTTTATTGGTACAGGCATTACCGAGCCAGTAGTTTGGCCACTGATATGGAGGGAAAGACTGTACTACATCACTGTGCAGTGCACTCCAACACTCGGTAAGTACCGAGTACTTATCTATCTCTCTCTCTCTCACTCTCTCTCTCTCTCACTCTTTCTTTCTGTAATGAACCCGATCGTCATTCTGCAGAATATCAAGTATGCAGGGTACTGCCTTAGTAGAGTTTCACATACTAAAAAGTAAAACCAACCATCCAAAATATTTGCTCTTATCTCTGCTACTCCATAATGCGTTTTGTTGTACGTGAGGCAAGATTATCTCCTAAAAACTACCAGCCAAATGTAACACACAGGAATCCTAAATGCTAGAAGCAAATACGTCAAGTAGTTAAAATGATGGTAGGTGGCTTCCTTGCACTCTAACCCTTTCCTGACATTTGTTCACAGCTGCTTGGAGAGTGCCCTGGGCAACTCTCTTGTTCAGCGCTCCATCAATGATCGGGACCAGAGCTTTCAAACACCGCTGCATTGTGCAGTTGCTGCAGGGAATGTGCGTAGCATATCTTCTCTATTGACAGCAAAGGTCAGTCAACGCTGCAAAGTACTACAACTAATGCACACTGCAGATTCATCTCATCAATTTTAATAGCTCATACTAACTGACGTCTGTGCCTTGAAGATCATTGCCTGAATAGTTAGGGTAGCCCCTTGCACTCTAATGTCTTCCCCCCCCCCCCACCCTCTGTCTGTCTGCCTGCATGTATGTCTGTCTCTGTTTCTGTCTGTCTGTGTGTGTGTGTGTGTGTGTCTCTCTCTCTCTCTTTATAAATGTAACTTACTCTCTCTCTCTCTCTCTCTCTCTCTCTCTCTCTCTCTCTCTCTCTCTCTCTCTCTCTCTCTCTCTCTCTCGCACACATGCTGGCTCACGTGTGCATACCGTAGTTCCGCGCATATCAGCCCATGGGCCTATATCCGGATATAAGCCCACCTCCGTTTATAGGCCCATGGGCTAATATACAGACCCAAACACCGTAGTACAGCATGTCAGTGCAGACTACATTACCAGTACCGGTACCTATGGTAGGCGGACAACCGCGGACGGACTTGTACTTTTTCGCGTGCCAGATGCCTTCAAAATTCGAATATAGGCCCAGGGCTAAAAAACGAACCATTATTACTGATTTATTTTCCCGGAAAATGCATTATTTCATATATTAGCCCATGGGCTTATATGCGCGGAACTACGGTATGTATGGTGTAAGTAAGGTGTGTGTATGGTGTACCATACATATGCGTCCTAATCTGTTTCAGTTATCCTGATACTCAAATGTAACGTATGTGCTTGTGTGATCTCTTCCTCTAGGCTGATCCTGGCATTGGTGATGACAGGGAGCTAACACCGCTGCACTATGCAGTGAGGGGACAGCAGCAGGCTGGTGTGGAAGCAATCCTGAAGCACTGGGTAAGACGGGTCGGTTGAGTTGCTCCCAGTACATCGGCACACGTCGTCCCTACATCCCTTATGTTTTGTCTTTTTCCTTACCGGTATTTCTTTTTGTTCTCCACATGTTTTCCAGTAGGGCTGTGTTAATAGTAAACAGAGAAATAAAAAGGTATACATGTGCTATGCAAGCAGCATTGTACATCATGTGTGCACAATGACATCATGGGTGCACAATGACATCATGTGTGCACAATGACAGGCATCTAGGATCAACTGGTGGGCTTTCATAGTACTTGTAGTTACCCCAGTTGGTTATTACAGTTACATGCGTCCTTCTTGTAAGTTTGCTTGACAAGCCTATCGATCCGAATGTTTTAGCCTGCCAACATGGTGTCAGTGAGTTATAGAATGAGTGTATGGGATATTCCAGTAGTCTTGTGAACCATCCTTGCTGTGCCGGAATCTCTGCTTTACAGCAAGGCCACCTGGGTTTTGAAGACGTTGATGGGCGGACACCGCTGCAGCTAGCTTGCAGCACGAATGCAGAAAGCATTGCTGCTTTGCTACTGGACTCCAATCGGTAAGCCCGGCTCAATGATGAGGTCAATGACCGCCAGGCTGAATGCAGTACATGTAGCCTGTAAATGTGCATGGAACCACATATGGGTATTTCTCCCACATATGGGTATTTCTCCCACATATGGGTATTTCTCCCACATATGGGTATTTCTCCCACGTATGGGTATTTCTCCCACATATGGGTATTTCTCCCACGTATGGGTATTTCTCCCACATATGGGTATTTCTCCCACATATGGGTATTTCTCCCACGTATGGGTATTTCTCCCACATATGGGTATTTCTCCTACATATGGGTATTTCTCCCACATATGGGTATTTCTCCCACGTATGGGTATTTCTCCCACATATGGGTATTTCTCCCACATATGGGTATTTCTCCCACATATGGGTATTTCTCCCACATATGGGTATTTCTCCCACATATGGGTATATCTCCCACATATGGGTATTTCTCCCACGTATGGGTATTTCTCCCACGTATGGGTATTTCTCCCACATATGGGTATTTCTCCCACATATGAGTGATATGGGTGTTTCTCGATGGGTGTGTACAATAAGAGAGCAGGCTGGTGTCACAGTCCAAAGCATTTTGTAGTATATTCTCAGCTTCAGTTTCCTGTGCTTTGCTTTGAAACATGACTGTGGCCGTGCACAGCTACGTTGAGGCAATCAGTCTAGTGATTTGTGAGTGCTTGGGAAGGTAATTTGCTACTTGGGCATGTTTCTGTCACCCTGTTTCTCTGTCTGCCGGTCCGTCGATGCATCCATCCATGTACCTAACCGCTGTCCCACCTCTCTGTCTCTCTGTGTGACTCTTCAATCTTCATGCGTTGCTCTCAGGTGCAACGTGAATCACCAGGATAAAGCGAAGACATCTGCACTCCACCTTGCCGTTCAGTGTGCCAATATTCCCCTAGTCCAGCTTCTTCTCTCATAGTAAGTATAGTGCCTGCGTAATCTGAACTCTTTCATACCCGTGATCACACTAATATACGATTGATAATCATAGAAACGCCCAGTGGAAGTGCCACACTGTTCCCTTTCCTTGGACAACAGAATATGGATGGCCGTCATATTATCACATAACAAGGTCGTCTCCGATCTAACCCCCCCCCCCCCCCCACACACACATGACATCATTGGTTGAAAGTTATGCGGGTTTGAATGTGGTAAAGTCTCCACTGAGTGACTCTGCACAATGTGCGGGCCAGAATGTTAGTGTAGCCCTGATCCAGAACAATCCTGGTGTGTGTGTGTGTTCAGTGTATTGCATTGCAGCTAGTTTTGCTATATGTGTGCTTGGTTACAATGTCATGGTGTTGGGCTGTCCTATTCTTGTTTCAGTGGTGCAAAGGTTGTGGTGCGGGACTACCGTGGTCGTATTCCACTGCACTATGCACAAGAACAGGTGGGTGCACTGTACATGTATGTAAGATAGAAACAGGTGTACAGAACCATTAACATTATCATACCCATAATCATGTCCGATGATGTGATTTCCATACTTCAAGTCCTCCGCACTTCTAAACTACTGGTCGGCAGTTACAAGTATTAGTATACCATTGACTACCTGTATCTCCTGGTTCAGTTAATATCTCAACACGCACACACCTATTATGACTGGTCAGCATGTGAGAAGGACAACCTCTGATAAACAATTTTTCATGGCTTGTGCTGCGTTTGCAATGTCCCTTCAGAGGAACTCTCAGATGGTCGCGCTGCTGCAGAAGCCAGCCGCCGGTGAACAGAGAAAACGTCCTGCCTAGGATTCAGGTTTCAAGCCAGCTTCTTGGCATCCACATGGCTTGTCTTAGCAGGTAGTGTGCCAGGCTGATGAGTAATTATTGGTCCTGGAACTTGAAGACAATGCAACGTCACAAGTATGTCAATTCTATAGCAATGTTGCGCAAACCTGCATAGCGTTCGTTGATCATGATGCATGTTGCTGTATAACACTGGTCATTAGTACATGACTGTAACTTTTCTCGGCTTGACTTGACTGACTTCGCCTTGATGCCAACACACTTTTAATATTATTTTAGCTTTCCATATATTCTACAATTCTCTGAAATAGCCCTCCACATCATAACTAGCATTCGACTCAGGACAATTACACAGCCAAACCCCAGAGTTGCTGTCTCAGTTTAATCCAGCAATGAGACAATGCTGATGTTTTATTTTATTTTATTGTATCGTACAGCGCACTGCATTTAGCGACAATGAATTGCTAGCCAGTTCTGCCTGCTCTATTTCTATTCTAATGTCTATGGCATACAGTGCTATGCACATAGCCATGGTGTCCCTGGAGTTTATGCTGCCACTCATGCACATCTTAGCACTAAGGCTGCTCGGCTTCTTACATCACAGTATACCTTTTAGTGCCTGAAACATTTTTGATCTTTATGGCCTGAAACCTGAATAGGGCGAATTGCGTGCCCAGCCTCAGGAGGTTTTAACATACCCGGAAATTTTGTTAGAAGCAGGGAGTCATAAAATACCGTATAGGTATTTTACGACTCCCTGGTTAGAAGCCTCCTGGATTTCATGCATATACATGTACATATACATGTGCATGCACATGTATATGTACATGTACATGTACATATACATACATGTGCATGCACATGTATATGTATATGTACATGTGCATATACATGTACATGTATATGCATGTCCTGGATTTTATGGCTATTATAATTCAAGAAACTGACACTGGCCAAAGTCCATCTCTTTTTCTCTCACTGGTCCATGTAAAACGATACGAGTAGATCATGAAGATGTGCATACACACTATTCACTCTTGACTACGATGGCGACAACGGCTGTATGCTGTTGACTGGGAGTACTGGTACACTCTAGATCTACAAGTAGTTGCTTGGTGTGTACCGGTGTACCGGTACATGCAGGTTGGAGGCAGTTTGGGCCAAAATGTTAGTGTTGTAATATTCTGACATCTGTTCATGTTCTCTGGACGTGTACATGTAGATTCGGTCTTCAGAATCATTCTCTGATAACTTCAGCAGGGCCCCGGGGTTTACTCCTATCCCAACAGGGGTCACCAGGGTTTTACCACTATTCCAGCCCGGTCGGTGTGGCTATTTTACCCTAAGTTCCAATGTTTGAACATCAAGTATCACTCCGGATATGCAGACCCCATTATTTTATTTCAGATTCATAATGCATACCTGTGCTTTTCACAGTTCGTCTACCAACAATGAGCGAAGTATATCATCGAGGAACATTACATTTTGGTGAACAGAGTAATCATGATAATGCGAATGTACAATGTACATGTGCATGTACATGTAGAGCTGCATGACTGTAGTTTACATCAACCACACCTGGGGGGCCGGGGGGGGGGGGGGGGGCGGGGGGGGGGGGGGGGCAGGGTGCCCTACAAATACAATCCTGTAAAGACAGTTATCATGGCATGGCCATAGCCATTCAAAACGTTTGTCAGATATGTGAGCGGATAGGAATGCAATATGCATGCGAATCACTCCAGAAACTCTCCAGGAACAGAGGGCCGAGAGATTCTCCGCGACCAGTCTACTATCGTACCTCCTTATTGGCCGCCGGTGAGACACCGTGGTGGAGAATTGGCGACCCCTCCAGCTATGGCTATGGCGGACGAGCTACCCTCTAAGTCTTGCAGGACACTTACCCATTTCCAATTTGAACAATTTCTGTGTTTCATCCAGGCGAGTACCTCCTGGGGCCGTTGACCCACGATAGCCTCAGCCGCATTGTTGTCCCCAATGGCCAAACGCATTTCTGATACCGCAAGATGGTGAAACGGTCCTTTTATCACCTACTCACGACAAGTTCTTGCAGCAACTACCCAGTGTCGCGCAGAGAATCGAACAATTACTCCGGGATTGGACACGAAAGCATCTGCGAGTGTTCCCCCGACGACCACCCACACCACCGTGTTCAATACGAGTGGACAGAAATGACCAGAAATTGCCTTTAGGTCATGCTACATTGTAACACCATGATTGTGCTGTTGTGTGTCGCCATTGTGCCTTGATTGTAATTACACGTGACGCAGCAGCCAGAGTGCAATGATTGGTGCAGCAGCTTTCAATGCGCTGCCGCTTGATTAGTGGGTAGTCCTATAGCCTATAACATTGATTGACCTGCAGGGTGATCATGGTGATATAGCGATCACCTTCCTGCACTTCAACTACATGTAACCGTTCATGTACCACTGCGCTAGTAGTCCGGTAGTGCAGACGATAGCGAATGATGGTGGTCTACTGAAGATACAGTAAAACCTGGCAAGGCGACCATTAATTTTGGATAAGGTGACCACCTGTCCTTGAAGACTACTGAAACCAGGACCAAAGGATGGTATTTCCGGTCAAATGACCCTCGAAAAGGAGACCACCTGGTAACAGAGACCACGTTTTGAAGGTCATATGAGCGGTCGTCTTAGGCAGGTTTCACTGTACATGATAAGCAATGCTAAATACTGCCACTAGTGACGTTTTGGAAAGCAGGAGCAGCTGAAGAAAGGAATTCACCTTGTCATGCAGCCGAAGAACCAAGCCTGCACCAACCCCATCTCACCACATCAAACCAAGACAGTAGTATGTACTGGTAGAAGGTACATGTGTACAGTCATGTACTTGTACCTGTAGGAAGTGCAGGCAAGACATCCGAAGAGCGCGTCAGAAATGGTTGGTTGGGATTCTGTGGCGATTGGAATTTCGTAGTTGTTTGTCCGCCTTCCCATCTGGCGTACAGATGGAGGCCGGTCAATATTCCGATGAACGCCTTCCTGAAAGCGATTATTCTTTGCTCAATTTGTTTCTTTGAGCCAAACGCTGAGCTACATCGGTAGGAACTGTGAAGATCTAGGGTGTGGTGGTTCTGTTGCTTTGAGCAACCGCGAGACTAGCACAGTAGCATTCATGCAAGCAATTGGGAGGATTCCATACTACTTGTACCCACACTACAGTCTTGCGAATTTACTGTCAGTATTCATGTCCCCGTCGATGTCTGTGTAGGAATTTAGAATTCCGCTGTAGGGGAAAGTTTCAAACGATTAAATGTGTTAATGGTGTTACTGATGTGCAGTTTTTATGATAGTATTTCGATAAAGAACGTCTCTGGTCACTCGTCAGTTGAATGCAGAGGAAGTGTTGCCTGTAGGCAAGCACTTCCAGTCGGCTTTGCAACTACCGTCGTATCGATGGCTGGTAGAATGAACGCAGTGCCTGTGTTCCGCTTTGCCAGCATGATTACCTGTTTCGCTGTGGTGGCGACTACTGACCTCCAGTAACGCTAAGTAATTAGTTAGCATCGCTTTGGGCAATAGCTCAGACCCTTACAGGATCACACTGATCCCACGTTTCCCAGGTGCTCAGTGTAACTTATCAGCAGCAAAAGCGCTTAGTTTCCGACGCAACCGGTTCATTGGGACATGTAGTCATTTCCGAAGATGGCTGCCAGCGATCACGAACCCCCTAAGAACCCCCCCCCCCCCCCGTGTGTGTCTAGGATGGCCTATCAGGCTATCAATATTACAGTAGAAGGGCGGTTCAAGTAAGCTACAAAAGACCTTTTTTAAACTGCAGAAATGTCGTTTCTTCTCGCCTGCTGCGAAGGGGTGGCCCCTTTCTAGGTTCTACTGCCGTACTGGAGTAGCGCGATTTGTAGAGGCGCGATTTGTAGAGGGTCTACCTGACTTCACCTTTAATACTAATAATAGCAGTGTTTGATTGACAGACAGGATAAGAAATCGATAACCACATGCCGAGTGATCTCAGCACTGCAATCGGTCAGCACCCGACACGTGGCTAGCTAGAACCTACTCGACCACTAGTTCCTAGTGCCAGTTTAACCTGGATGAGAAACGCACCATTCACGCCTGTTGATTTCCCGACATGCAGCAGCCATTTTGCTGCTTACCTCCGGCTACAGCACACAGATTACTCTATAGTTCCTATTGGCCACCATGCAGCTTTCACTCGGGACGACAAAGGTCTGTAGCGAAACCCCACGAAGGTACGATGTCAGCGGGATTAAAACTTCAAGCAGCAGGGGTGGAAGTGTCTTTTGGCTTGCTGGGATGGAACTCCGCCCACTGTGCGTCGACTAGTGACTAGTGTAGATTAGACGTATCATGTCGTGTCATGTCAGTACTACACACAGTCAGTAGTGCAACTACATGTGTATGCTCCCCGGAGGTTAGCACTTACTCTCCTTCGGAGATAGAGAAAGTGAGGACGTTGCGCACAGCGTGTGACTGTGGTTTCTCTTGACCTGGATGATACTATAGTATCTGCACGTCCTCAGACAGTTTGCAAGAACTGAACGCACTGAACCCACTGACCTCGCCTAAACACAAACAATTCCCTAGTCATACTTCCTGTAGTGTATGTGACGTCATGTCGTTTGTATGGTAGAAGTCTTTGCACTGTTTGCAGTGAACATGTACCAGCGTCATATCCTTAGTCCATGCTGTAGCAACGGTTTGCGTTACCATGATTACGAGCATGGGAACATTAGTAAGTTCGGTTCCGTGTTCTGTTGCTCGCGATCGCGGGCCTTAGTAATAGGAACTTACAAGCATGCATCCATCAGTATCGACCTGTGCAGCTGCAGGGTGTACTGCACCAGTTGCTGTGAGTTGCCCGCCGGCACATACATACTCTCTTTGCGCCGATACTGTACACCGTTGTGGGACGAATATGGCACATGAGCAGCGGCACAATACTGCACTCTCGACGCCGCGTACTACCAATGCGCATCGGGCGGACGGAACAAAGTCTGTCTTTACAGATTTTGCCGCACCAACACAATGTGACTGCTGTACCAGTACATGTCACAAGGCGCAAGTGTGTTTGTGTGGTGCTACACTATTACTCAGCGAGAGTCAATGGGCCCTGGCAGAGTGATAGTGTAGCACCAGTTGAACTGCAGGTGCGGTGCATACTCACTACTGCTAGTATGTACTGGCAAATCCATGCTAGTATTTCTGATTGAGTTGGTAATGACCAACGCCTCACCTGACAGTGTTTGCAGTGCGGGATGGATAGACATCGCGACATGATCTGACCCAGTAGAAGTGCCTGTACTGGGTGCGACCATCTGGACAGTGGCACTCTGCGGTGATCACGTGCACACATCACTTTCGACCCCAGATCTGGGCGAGCGTGTGGACCATGTGGATATCCAGTCATCATGGTCATAATTGTAGCTATGCATGTGATGCTATTAGTATTACTACTAACGACTTAATGTATGTTGTAAGAACAGTAATTACAATGTAAGTCATGTACTATCTGCAGTTCTCTCCCTACAACGGCTACATCGCATTATTGCCAACCATACACCCTTCGACAGACAAGGACCTACTCCATCGGACACGCACACACAAACAGGCACCGAGATTC